AAACTCACGTCCACCGTTGTTGAGCATCAGCCGAGGTATATTCAAAAAGTTGGTCATTGCGAAAACGTAACTCATGCAGGCGATGACAAAGTCTCCCTGAAAGCTTTTTTTTAATCAGAAAGGGTCGCAACAGTAATTCAAAACTACACTTGGATATACTAACTTTTCATCATCTTTTCTAGTTTGCACAAAAACCAAACGAGCATTTTTTTTAATGCCGTGTTCAAAGTAATTTCCGCGAAATGCAAAATGATCTCTGACTCTCCAAAATTTAGTGATCTTTTCCTTTCTCTAACGGGTATTTTGCATTTCGCGGAAATTACTTTGAACACGGCATAAATTTTGATCAATTCTGTTTTTTTATAAATTACTTCATGACCGTACCCAATTTTCTACGACGAGGAAAGCTTAAATAACTTCTCCGACTGAACCAAATAAAGAAACCTTATACGCCCACAAGTCGCGCCACTCTTCGACCAGCTCGGCCAGCCGTAGGTTCGACAGGCTGTCCTCGAACCACATGGCGCCTGCGCCAGCTACCAAAGCTTCTCCTGCAAAAATATGATCGGAGTGCCAACATCATCCCATCGATCAGAACGAAATTAAAATCGTAGCGGGGAAAAAAGTTATGGATGTCGTCAAATATGATGTTTCTTGTGCATTTGTCACCGACGAAAATTAACATACTGCCTAAATTTTTAAATGAACAAAACAACTTTTTCTGAAACTGAAAAAAAGAGAAACAGTGAATATTTGCTCATTTCTCTTTAATATCACAATGGCTCAATTATTTCCATAACAGCAAAATTTTCGGAGTGCTGTTTCTCGAACAAAATACTTCTTGCAGTAATGGAAAATACTGATTTTGCGTCATACTCTGATTATTTACCGCAATCATCAATTAACTGTGAGTCCAAAGAAGCATAAAGTAGGTGAAAACTAGAGGGAAAAAAACAGAAAATTTTATTAATGGTTGGTTAAAAAATGGTTTTCCGATACCTGAGAAAGCTGTGATCACTTTTGACAACAAAAAACAGATAGAAAACTTTCAGACTGAACGGAATATTCTTCTCTTTTTTAAAGCTCCAGGTTCAGTAGAAAAACAGCTGAAAAGTTCGGCAAACGGAGAAAATGAAAGGAAAGCTTGTCAAGCACTCCTAGAGTTCTCCGCGGCGGCGACTGCCGCAAGAGCGTTATTGACTGAGACACATAATTAAGTAATGAGATGTCGGGAACGTGCGGATCAAGAGCAGAAACGGAGAAACTGGAAAAAAGGGAAGAAGCTTCCGGAGGACACTACCAAGGTCAGCCGAGGGGGTGTGTGGCTGCGGGCAGCGCGCTTTGGGTCAATCGCAGAGATTAATGAACGAGACGGACCGCCGACGAGGAAAACCTTTATTGTGACAGACGAATCAATTTCCTACAACATCAGCTGCCGTCTTTACAGAAACAACATCTTCAGAAAAAAAATATCAAGGCAGTGACAAACAAGCAATAAAATATAACAGGCGTAAAGAAACACGTTCCGGTTCATCTGTTGAAAATTCAATTAACTTCGCGAAGTTAAAAACCAAACCACCGTCGCAGAGTGAAAAAGGTAACAAAAATTTTAGAGAGACAGAGAAAATTTCGCATTTCGCGGAATCACAAGGTAGCATTTCTAGAAAAAAATTTTGAAGTTATTCCGCAAAATTCGAAATTACCGACAAAAAGTGAAAAAGATAGCTGAACTTCGAATTATAAAAGATATTTTTGAAATTGGCGGAAATTACTTGAACACGGTAATTGCACTTCACATACATGTGTGATCACATATAGTAAATATTTAAATATACAAATTTAAATTTACAAATAATTTAAAAGAAGGCGTCGAATGTAATGCCGCGTACGCAAGCAAAGGACCTCACGACTATACATCAAAAACTTTTTTATACCGTAATCAAAAAAAAATTTCCGCGAATTCAAAATCATCTCATTCCCTCAATCGTCAGGACTATTCAACACTATGGCTATTTTCAGTTTCTCGGAATCACTTTGAACTCGGTATTAGTTATCCATTTCACTTCCCACAGTCGTTGATTCGTTAGAGCAAACATGCCTATCGTCTTGTTTTCAAAGGAGTGTTTAATAAATAATTGAATTCCCTCAATTTTTCTATTTATTTTCTACATATAATAACCACCTGTGATGAAAAAAAAATGAATAACAAGGTCATTTGAGGGATCTTCGGACCGTTATATAATTGAAAATGAGGTTCTTTACATGGATAAATTCACAAGAAATTGAGGACGTCTTGATTTTAAGGACAAAAAAAAGAAAAAAAAAATAGGCAAGCAGGAACAATACGCGAGAGAAGGACCCACGTGCAGCGATGGTTGAACGAATTGTTTTGGCAAGTGGACGACGGATCGGAGAGCGGAGACGCGTTCGTCGCGGAGAGGCATGTCGGCGCGACGCGGAGACTGCAGACATCTAATTCGCGACAGATGGCTGTCCGAAAGCGTTACGTCGCTGTTTGTGCATGAGGCAGAGTGCGCGAAATTCATGCGTCGTGAAGCGTCCAACCGTTCTTTGTATACTCCGCAGCACATTCGAGGACAGTATATACTCACGATTGACAGGGTCGGAACTAGGAAGCATTGGAAAGACCTTGTTAGTATGAATGTAGAAATTTTCAAATGTTTCGAAGAAATAGTACAGCAAATAAAACGTTTTTTCTCAAGATTAAATCGACGTTTTGCTGACTCATTTCTAATGGAAGATGGGCTCCCTGCGGCCGCAGATCCACACGACAACCATAATCAACGGCAAGTACATGGTAGGCCGAATTCGTGAGCTATTGAAGATAGAAAAAAATCATTTCTGTGGCTTCACTCTTTGAAGTTTATTTTTTTATTTTTATTTAACTAATCAGGGAGATAGCTGAGAGCTTTTTGAAGCTTTTTCGAGCCGCAAAGAATAGTTTTACCAACCAATTTTTCATAAAATTTTCTACTTTTGCAACGAGTTGTTGTTTTTTGTGAAGTTGAGAATATGAAAGCAAATGAACGACATACATATGAATTGATCAAAAAAAAAATATAATAAATTACCTTAAAAGGTATGCTGGAAAAGTAGGTTAGTTCCATCAGTCCGGCCGGGGGTTACTTTTTCAAATTTTCAAACTTGGAGAAAGTTTTCAAACATTTATATTCAAAAATTTATCCCCGGGTTGAGACTACATTCAATATAAACAGCTTTTGAAGTATGAATCATACTGTATGATTCTTGAAAATGTGGTTCTCTGGTTACTAAGTTTTGAAATATTCATTTTTTTAAATTTCCTATATTGCACTAAAAAACGCTCGTTCTGAAGACGTAAGTAATTTTGAACTAAAAGACTTTAAACATTTCCCAGCTGACTCCGCGAGTCGTGTTTGAAAGAAAGCTATTTTCTTAGCTACAATCACAGTCTGTTGAAGATTCCCTAGAGTTGTTTGAGGCTGTGCGGAAACTCGGCGAAGGTGGCTGCGGCGTCATCTACGAGGTGGCGCTTCTGACAAACCCGCAACAACGGTTCGCCTGCAAGGTGATGGAGTCCCGAAGACGTGCGACGCGGAATCTTTCAGGCGGAAGTCGCCAGTCCAGACGAAGACGCGACTCTCGCCATGGAGAGCAACATCATGGAGATGCTCACGGCCCGCAAGTCCTTACATGCCGTCAACATTATTGAGAAGGGCAAGGTCAGCACCTTTTTCGGCATTTTTTAAAAGTTTCATCATTAGGTGAGCAACTATAACTTCATCGTGATGACACTTCTGGGACCATCGCTCGACGTTCTTCGGTTGAAAATACCGTTCAACGTTAGTTTGCTTCGAAACCCGAAAAAGCTATCAACGTAGAAATTCTCATTATTCACAACCATCGTTGTCGGGATACAAGGGTTTGACGCCATCCAAGAGCTGCACGAGCTCGGGTACACCTTTTTAAAAGTGAACAGTATCGTATCCTAATTCAGTTACATCCATCGAGATGTCAAGCCGGCCAATTTCGCCATAGGAGCTCTGGGTACGCCGAAACAGCGTCTAATACACATTCTGGACTTTGGAATTGCTCGTGGCTTTTTGGTAATGAGCTTTTCGAGAAAAAAAAAACAAAATTTGTCAGGTGAGCAGTGAAGACGGAGAGGTGCGGCTTCGAAAACCGAGAAAAGTTGTTCCTTTCAGGTTGGGGCTGCCATTTTCTTTAAATGTTAAACAAAAAGAATTTTGATTTTTTTTTGATATGACTTTTGGGCATGGTCTGACGAGCATTCACCAACTGCTTAGAACCCCTATAGGGACCGAAAAAGTGGTAGCTATTGGGTTAAATGTAAGTTGATCCCTATAGGGGTTCAGGATAACGTGGCCCCTATAGAGGACTTTCAACTTTATTCGAAAACGCTTATTTATTCACTTTTTCCCATGAAAATGCTTCTTCGCCTAGAGTTCATACCAGTTATCGACTAGCATGCCCCCTATAGGGACCACTTTTGCAAGCCTTAGTGGCCATTATAGGGGTTGGTAAGGGGTCCTTATAGCCAACTCTATAAGTTATAAAAAAAGTTTTTTTCCGCCAACAACATCTTTCAGAGGAACTATGAGGTACTGTTCAACAGGAGCTCAGGATCGCTGCGAGCAGGGCCGACACGACGACTTGTGGTCTTTGTTCTACGTGATGGTCGAAATGTTGAAGGGCGTTCTGCCGTGGTTTTTTGTAACTCCAGAGACGTTCTGAAAAGCGATTCTAGGGCAGGGATCACTGAAAACGAAGGAGTACGACTGAAGAAGCTGGACTTGGCCGAGCTCTACGATTCAATTCCCGATGACATTGTTTGTTTCGGGAAGCATTTGGAACGTCTTTCCTACGGCTCTACACCAGGCGTGGAAGCCTTTTGAGAGTTTTATTGAAATACTTTCAGACTATCCACTGCTTCGGGGCTTGCTTTGCAACGTATTCACACGCGAACAAATGAACGAAGACATGAAGTTGGACTGGGAGAGCGGCGGCAAGCACGGCATCCACTTTGAGAAAAGCTCGTCCCTGCTGTTCTTTCTGTTCCTGCCGTTTCATCCTTTTTTCCGTGTTTCAGGCCCCTCGTCGTCGAAAAAGACATCAGCGAGTTCTCCCTGCACGATGTTTTGCGCATACCGTTCGCTGTTAGAAACTTCAGCGCCGAGGTTTTTTTCTTACGAGTCTTTTTTTCAAAGATAAGCTGTCCGGTCCAGGAAATGACGGCCCCCATTCAGTCAGGACACGTTGACATTAACACTAGGAGCGACGACACGTTGGACGAAAAAGAACGGGTAATTTATTTTTTCCGATGTTTACTGTAGTATCTCAACTCAAAGAAGAAGGTCTTCTGTCTTCAGAATTCAATTCAATCAAATTTTCTCTCCAATTTTTTGTGTCACTAATCCTACTTAGGAACTCCAGAGTGCTCCATACAAGGGCAACCTCAGAGACCCTTCACCAACCCCTATTGGGCCACTAGAACTTGCAAAAGGTCCCTATAGGGGTTTTAGTTAGTGGCTTCTATAGGGGTCATGTATATATCCCTATGGGAACTACTGGAGCTTTAGGGGCTAAGAGGTCAGACCCTAAACCCTTTCAGAGATCAATTTGATTTTACCCCTATAGGGACCACTTTTTCGATCTATATAGAGGCTGTTTTTCTTCCTAACCCCTATAGAGACCACTCTGGATTCCCTAAGTATGTATCAAAATATTCAATTGCAACGGTTCATGAAAACTTTTTGTGTAAATCTCATTTTTCACGTTCATTCTGTCTAATGGACCATCTTCCAGGCACAGAACCTCAGAAAACCTGCTCCGCAACGGAAAATCGTCAAAAAGTACTGCTACCAGGCGCGCAAAGACTGTGCCTCCACAACACAGAAGGTGAGCGTTTTCAGAGTTCGGACTCAATTTTCTACTTCTAGAAAGTCGCAAAAGCTGAAGTCGTCGAGGCTAAGTGGCGAGAGAAGCGCTACCACCGTAAGACCAAGTCCAACGTCAAAAGTATTAACACCGATCTTGTTGTGGTCCGTTTCTTTTCATTATTCGAAGAGAAAACTCGTTAGTTTTTTCTAGACATGTTCTGAGTTGCAACTTACTCAAGACACTGAGAAAAAGGATACCCGGACGACGAACACGACGAGCAGGACCCCCGAGAAGCATCCCGGAAAAGCTTCAGCCCCCGTGCCGAACAAGGCCAAGTTCCTGCCCATTTTCCTCCAAAAAAACAACGTCGACGCGTACAAAAAATTTATCAAATGACTAGAATTTTCTCTCGGCTTAAACCGATTTTTGAAACGAATTACCTGACAATTTTGATAAAGGAACAAGAAATACAATGAACGTCTAATAAATTCAAGGCACAATGAATGTACAGTGTTTCGGGGTGGTGGACACGTTCAGTAGCTCAAAAATCGAAGCAGTGTAGCCTTTTTCACAAAGTGTAGTTCTGTACAAACTGTTCAAGTTGAAAATTTGACAAGGTCAACGACCGGGTCTCACATGATACATTTAGGGCGTTTATCTTATTTTTCACGCTTCGAAAAAACCACAACTTTCCGTCAGATAAATGTATCAAGTTTGACCGGTCTTCAACCTGGGATGAGTGGGAGGAAAGGAAAGATCAGAAGTAAAGAAGCTCGAAATTTGATACAAGAGAAGAAGAAGAATACCAGCCTTGACGTAACCCTTGGTAGTTTTGAGCGCGGCGACTTAAAAGACGCCGTAGTTCTTGGTAGTCTGAGCGACCCTCTTGAGGTCGTTGGCGAGTTGATCGACCTCCCGCGGATCGACCCGGTGGCCGTGGTCCGACCGCGTCACCGACCTTATCGACCGCGTCGACTTGGTCTGAAATGTTGATGTTTAACGATTTAGGGAATTTCACAGCTGTGCAAGAAGAGTGAGCCAAGGAGAAATTGGCAAGACTAGAGTAAGGACTACAGTTTCGAGAAGGTTCAGATTGAAATAATACGAGGCTTAGAAGATCCTTACTTCATAAAGAGCGTGGCATTTTACCGAACTTCGAAATATATCCAAGCAAAACTGGGATGGCCTTTTTTGCAAGACTAGAAAAACAAGGACGGACCCTCTGCATGCTGTTGAACTCGGAGGCTGGACGAGTGGCTCGCGGAGCACTGGTCGTCCGCTCGCCAGTCAGCCATTCGTGGCTGAGGGCCGCCGTCGCCGAGAGTCTCTCGTTGGCGTTTGTTTCGAGCAGCGCGTCGACGAACTGCTTCGCCAGCTCGGAGCCCGACCAGAACTGTAAAAAGCATTGGAAAAGGATATCTCTTATGGATCCAAAATTCAAAGAAACTTAGATGACGACTGTTTGTCGATACCTGGGGATAGTAGACATAGTTGGCGGTGATGATGTGGGTGTAGAGACGGGAGCGACAGTCGTCGTCGAAAGGCATGATGCCGCTCATGAGGATGTAGGCGATCACGCCGACCGCCCACATGTCCACCTGCATCCGACTCTTTCCGATTTCCGCGCCCCATGACCCACCTTCTGGGTGTAGGGAACTCGGAGAAGAAGCTCAGGGGCTATGTATTCTGGAGTGCCGCACGTCTCGGTCATTGTCTCGTTGGGCTTGGTCGCCTGATAGGCCAGTCCGAAGTCAGTGATCAACAACCGCGCCTCCGGCCTCGAGTCATTGTAAAGCAGGTTCTCCGGTTTCAGATCTGAACATGAGCTAATGAGCATGAAAGACGAAAAATCGGCGAGATAATTTTGTAAAAAAAATGTTCATCTAAAGTCGTTTCACGGCTAGCTTGGGTCGCTAAGGGGGCCTGTCTGCGCTCTCCACCGGCCAGACGCTATCACTACTATTATCGTGTCAGGACCCATTTTTCGATGGCTCAAGCCAGCCGTGTCAGAGAACTTCAAAGAGAAAATGTTTTTTTCATTGTGGATTTTTTTTTTGAGTCTCCGACAAAAAGGCTGCAGAAAACGAGCTAGTGAGAGATGTGTGGGGGGAAAAATCGGCTCAGAAAAATGAAAATTCTTTGGTAAAATAAAAAATAAAATTTTTTCGACGAAACTTCGCTGACCTCGGTGGGTGACTCGTATCGAGTGAAGGTAGGACAAGCCGTTGAGCAACATTTTCAGGGCGTCCCGAGCTTCGTTTTCCGAATATCTGCACTTTTCCTTGGATACTTCAAAAGGTTCTTGGCAAACCTTCCCTTGGCGACCACCCGGTCGTACATTTCGCCACCCGAAGCGATCTGCATGACAATAAACATCCGAGAAGATGATTTGAAGACCTGTAATTCTAAAAATCTGCTTAATTGCGGTATACGCTGAGGTCACTAAGCGTTTTTTGAAGTATCGAGGCTAAGTACTAAGTTATTTTCTTAAAGCTAGAAAAGATAATCTCATCAGTTAAAAAAACATATTCAAAGTTTTTTCTGAAGTATTGAAGAGACTGAGTTTTCAAATCGAAGTGACATAACTTTTTTTGTTTTATGAACTTACTAGGGAACGTTTTCAACCCTCCGGTTGAACTTTTGCTGAAACTTTGCTGAAGTGTACTTTAGAACCCCCTGATTCCAGAACAGAAAAAATTTTCTCGCAATATATCCCGTTTTCGAGTAGGACTCTTCAAAAGCCCGAAATGGCGATTTTTTGACCTAACTTGCGTATTTTGCACACTTTGAAGCTCTATAACTCGGAAACAAGATCTGTTGCAAGAGGTTTTTTTTGCTCTGGGATCAGGAGGTCCTGAAGTACACTTCAGCAAAGTTTCAGCGAAAAATCAACCGGAGGGTAAAAAACGTTCCCTGGTTCAAGCCGCCAAGTACCCTCCTAGAAGGAGCTCAATCCTAGGCATTGAATCATTCAACTTTGAGAGCCCATAACTTTTTTCACATGCCTCCAAGGCAACTTTTTGAATACAGATTCGAAATCAGCGTAAAAAACTTCATCTAATGAGCCTATCCCATTCAGAAGTTCCACTGTGAGCTTACTGAGCAGAAAACACTCCGTCAACAAACCTCTTCTAGCCGAATGACATAAGGATGGGAAAGGCGACTGAGGATACTGAGCTCGTTGTTGACGGCGCCGCAGTCGGCAGCGACGACCTTGACGGCGAAGAACTTGCGAGAAACGCGGTGCTGCACCCGCAGGACCTGCGAGAAGCTGCCTTTGCCGACGACGGCCAGCACTTCGTACTTGCAGACGAGCCGAGAGTCCAGGCGCATGGCCGCTCTGTCGCGCAGAACGGCACATTCGCCGAGGGGCATCTCGCCTCCGACCTGCAACAGTATTCCGACGGCCAACGAAGAGCATCATACCGGCGGAGGACAAGTCTGAGCGAGTGCATGCGCGTCGAGGTGCGTCTTGGCGAACAGGCTGGAGAAGAACCCGGGGCTCGACGTCAGCGGCACGACGCTCGGGCTCTGCTTCTGTGAGCAGTTGCCCATGCACTAACTTCAAAACTATCGTCATTTTTATCGAGGCAAAAGATCGTCAGAATGAGAAATGTTTGGTTGGAGTGCGATAAATACAAAATAAAGAAACATGATTCTCAAGAAAAATGAATCGATGACTTGAAATCTATAGAACTTTTTGCTTCATTCGAGGTTTCAGCCTAGAGCACGGTCTCGGGGCTCCAGCACAACATCCGCTACATTCTAAGCTCATCAAGGCGAAACTGAATAGACTACGCGCAGAAGAAGTAAGACCCTGCTTTCAACATGATCAACTACAAGTTTGAACTTCTAGCCCGCCAAAGACGGTTGTTCATTATACTTAGCAATCCCAGAGTGGTCCCTATAGGGGTTTGGGGGAAAACAGCCCCTATAGAGTCCGAAAAAGTTGTCCTCACATGGGTAAAATCAAGGTGGTCCCTATAGGGGTTTAGGGTATAATCTTTTTAACCCCTAAAGCTCGAGTGGTCCCTAGAGGGGTCTTACAACTTCATTAAAAATAAAAGCTTATTTATTTATTTTTTTCGCAAGGAAATGCTTATTTGCTTAGAGTTCATAACAATTATCGATTAGCATGACCCCTATAGAGGCCACTTTTGGAAACTTTAGTGATTCTCAGGTTGGCGAAGAGGGCCCCTATAGAGAACACTCTGGAGTTCCTAAGTGGCTTTGAAAGTTATTTTTTAACAACCGACAAAAAAGCTAAATAAATTATTGATTGAAGCTGAACAAAGTGAAATAAATAGTCGAGGGGAAATTAGAAGACACAGCGTACAAGAAAGAAAAAAGAAAAAACCTTGTAATTTTATTATTTTTCAAGTAAATCATTCAAGCGATTTTACGTTTTCTAGTAGAACTGCGATCGATCGACAAAAAGGTGAAAATGTATCTGATAATTTATTTAGTTCTCAAAAAAATCCAGTTGGTTTTTTTATCCCAAAAGATTGACAAAGGCATGGGCTAAAGGGTGGCGATAGGTGGAGTTGGTTCAGAAAATGGATCAGGTAAAGCAAACAATAGGAAGGATTGTGAGTGGACGAGTCGACGCGACTTCGACTTTTGTTTTTTGCGAGATGTTATTTCTTGAGAACTTATCCAACTTGAAACTTCAATTCGTATGTGAATCTAACAGAAACTAACCAAGAACCTTAAGATTTTTGAGTGATCCCTATAGGGGTTAGGGGGCAAAGCAGACCCTATAGGGACTGAAAAAGTGGCCCCTAAAGGGGTTTAAGGTCTGAGCCCTTGGCTCCTAAAACTTGAGTTTTTAAACTAACTAGAACCCCTATAGAGATTAATTTTGCAAGTGGTCCCTAGAGGGGATTTTCCAAGAGCCCCTAAAGTTGCATCTATAGGGGTCACTCTGGAGTTTCTAAGACATGTTCTAAGAAACACAGAAAATTTCTAATTTGTCAAATCAACGAAAAACCCAGAATTTGAAGACTTTTAATTGATTCTGTGATAATCACAAGAAAATATAAATGTTGCGGTAAGCTTGAAGAATGAAATAAGCCGGATCTGAGCGATTGGCAGCCGGAAACGGGAGCTCCGAAGGCTCAAATTTCTCAGGTTTGTCGTTTTGACGCACTTTTCATTGATTGATGACTTGGAAAAGCTGCGATTTTCACAAATTTCACTCAAAAGACTTTTTAATACAGGCGGAACACGTTAGATTTCAATTGATAAGTTAATTTTCGTTTGTGATTGGAGAAAAAAAAAATCAAATGTGATAGTAATCGAAAGTAAAAGGAAATCCGGAGGGGATGCTAAAAAGGTTGGCAAAAGGTGGCCACGCCCAAGTCTAAAGAGACGTCAAAAGGTGTGGCCGATCAGGAAACCAAGGTGACAAGATTGAAAAATTAGCATTAGATAAATTCGAAAACTACGTTACAAACTGAAACTTTTGCGGAACATCTGTGATATTCAGGTTGAGGCTGATTTTAAAAGAAAGTCTATTATTTTGATTTAAAGCCAGGGGATATGAAATTGAAAAAAAAACGGTTGTACCCTGAGCCTTTTTCAGAAGCTGAGATAAATCCCATAAATTGAAGATAATGAGAAAAGTCGAGTTCCTTGTAGGTGCAAGCAGACAGGTCGGAGGAAAGAGGCGAATTTTACAACGGGAGCTGCGGGAAGCGGCTCGAGTGCCATGCAAATACAAGGCTTGAACGTCGTCGCTCACAAACATCTGTACGATGGCAAAGTCGCTTCCGGCGCCACGGAGTCGTTCAAAAACTCCCAGTTTCGAATATCCATCGACTCTTTTGAATGAAACTTGTGGCCGAAAAACACTTTCGAATTTAAACGAGAATTTCGAACAAACTATGCAGGAAGAGGCAAAAGAAATGATCGACAGAGGAAGTGAGAAACGCCGACAAGAGGCAACAAACTGTCAGTCTTCCACAGTGTAACAGAAGAAAAGCTGTTGCAAGTACGACCAATTCCAAAAGACCTTAGCCATTGCGAGGATCAAAGAAAAAAACTTGATTCTAGGAGAAAAATACCAGAATAGAGAAGAAACCGAGTCAAGAATCATATACTCGGAAGCTATTGAGATCAGGAAGAGCAAGGGAAAAATAGCGAATGACAGTGAAAGAAGCAATTTGGCGTGATTGAGTGAGGAACGGAGGCCGATTCGTCTTCTCATCGCGATCAAAACAACGGAGATCGTAGGGTGGGTAAAAGTAGTGTGTAAAAGTAAACGAAATGATTGATAAGATCAGAAGGGAAAGCATGTGCGATTGGGGGCCGTCCTTTGGATGTGGACAGCTGCCGGGGCTCCGATTCCGGCCAGGTTCTATTGTGGAGAATCATCGAAAAACAGCAAAAAGGGAAGCGTGAAGGGGGGAGGGGGGAGCGATTGAGGACGTCGAAATGTGTAATGAAAGTGTTTGGAGGAGAAGGAGGGTGGAACAGGTTGCATCTGACACAAAATGAGAAGAGAAGGATAGCCCCACTTTCATTACTTTCGTTTCTGAACAGTGCTGTAGCTCCTGTACTGCTCAATCGTCAAAATCATTTATTTCTTTTGTCTTTACAAATGATCCGTTTTGTTCAGAAGGCAATAGATTATCGGGGAGAAAGTAAATAAATTATTGCGGACGCGTGACGACAAGACTCGCCGACGGAACGAGATCTGCAATAACACAAGCCGTCGGTAAGATAAGCTGCCTCCAGCAATATATCAAATGCTTCTAATTATTCCCGTGCCTTCTCCGAACAAATAAAAAGGCGATAAAAACCAAAAATGCGACCATTTGGGAAAAAATTACTTTTTTTCGCTTTGGGCAACGACAAAACCAGTTTAGTGTTAACTTAGTATACGTGAAAAATCAGATTCGACTCGCAAATTTGAAAACGGGGGTCCTTTTTACATTTTTTTTTTTGGCGATCCTAAAACTGGTAATGAAAAAAACTGAACTAAAAATTCTATTCTATTTTTTTCGAGTACGATTTCCTCAAATAAACTTTTTACGATTTTTTTCATTATTTTGTAATAAAGCAGGGACAGGAAATTTTCAACTACTTTTTCTTTAAATATAACATTTCAGTGATTAAGGCTATCAAAAAAATATAACATATTCTCAAAAATTAACTTATGTATCGGTCAAAAAAATGTTGAATAATGAAAAAAATTAAAAATTTCAAAAGATGCAAAATTGAACAAAGCTTTTCTGACATGATACCTTCTAAAAACCGGTTTCAAAACAGCATACTTTTTTCGAATCATCTCAAAAACCCGTCGTTATTGCTTTTTCTCTATACCTACGTACGCACTACTTTTACCACTCAACGTTTTTTTATCCTATTTTTTGCCAGAAGGTTAGAACAATGTGATATGGATCTCTACAAGAGAAAGCACGGCTAACAGTTGGTTGGCTGACTGACCGAGGCTTTTGAGCGTCTGGGAGAGGTCGTTCTCGGTGAAGACCTTCCTCGGAAACGGCGTCATCAGGGCGAAGTCGCTGCCGTCCGTGTGATTCGTCTGCACCCAGACCCGTACGGCGGCCAGCTTTAAAAAACTCTTCCTTCTTCTAAAACGCCAGGAAACCTTACCGGTTCTTCGGCTTTGAATGTTTGTTTCACAGATTGTCCGTTTGCAAGTCGAATCTGAAAACATTTCAAGTCCAGATTTTCTAAATGTTTCATGTGCTATCTGGTTTTTAAAAGGCTCTAACTCTGCGGATTTCAATTTCTTCATATTTAACAGCAACCGAAACAGGTTTTGAAAGATCAAATGTCACTAATGGCACGAATTATATATATTTTTTTGAAGATTTTGTGTACATTCTTGTCTCACTAGTCTTATAACTTATCAAAACCATGTGAAATAAATTCGAAATCCCACATATCAAAGCGTGAAAAACTGAAGCAAAAACAATAAAAAGAGTCTTATTTCATGCCTTCCATTTTTTCCAGGATTTTAAAGAACCAAGAATTGGTGGAAAAAGGGAGAGGCAGCAAAAATGGTGCAAAAGGGCCGATGAAATGGCTCAAAAAGACAACAAAAAAATGAGCCTTTTTCGTCTTAAAAAGAACATTTCTATGGAGCAAAAAAATCGATTTAATAGCGAATAAAATCAAACCCCCTTGATTGGGAGCATTAATAAGAGAAAAAAAGGTTTTTTCGGTGTGGTTTTAGCAACTTCGACCGCAGAACTAGTATATGAGATGGCCAATAGAAAAAAAATCGCAAGAGGTTATGAAAAACCTTAAAAATGAGTTGGATAATATTTTAGTGACTCACAAAGTCCGATGAATCTTTACAAGGAAGGTCGTTTGACTGTTCGGTCGGAATTTCCAGAAAAATGAGTAGACAATTCCTGGATGTACCAGGTAAAGATTCTGAACGTCTCAATCTGCACAACTTCCTATTTTTTTGAAAAAGGACACCTCAAAGTTTAAGAAAGCTCTCAAAATCCCTTAAAACAGGCCATTTTGGTCTTTGAGCCCTTATTTTTTAAAAACTGAAAAGGTTTTGCGGATTGAGACTTTCAGAATCGTCTTCTGGTACCTAAAGAAGTTTTTTGGCCTGATTTCAGGAAATTCCCGATGGCAAAAAAACGACCTTCCTCGTTAGAACTCCGGGAGAAAATAATAAAGACGCTTCATGAGAAAAACTTGGTTGTGATGTTTCATAAATATATTAAAGATTCACAAATTTGAATTCAAATGTGTAGCCACGACCTGAAGAGTGGTACTATTGTAGTCTCGAACCGGCGGAGGAGCCACCGAAACCGAAGAAGCTGCCGGCTCTGGCGGAGTGATGCCAAGCTCGCGGTTCTTTCTAGCTTCCTGAAAATCCCAAACGATGTTCCCGATGTCATTATTTCCAACCTTGTCGAGACGAATCTGCTCGAGGACGCGTTTCTTGGCTTCTTGGTCCTCCAACTTCTGACGCTTCCTCTCTTCAGCGATCGCCCTGTAGCATTATCAGATAAAAACATGATAACCTGAAAAAACCTGAGCTCGTCGTTCTTCTGCTGCTCTCGACGTTCAAGCATGAGCTTTCCTTCTTCTCTCCGACGCTTCTCGCGATCCAAAGCTTCCTCTTTCTCCTGCTCATCTTTTTTCGCACGATGAGCCTTGATCCTTTCGCGAAGATCTTTCGCCTTCGCCTCTCTCTCTTCGGCGGTCAATGGCTTGATTTCCTGAAAAACATTTCACATCTTCTGGGTTTCGAATTCTATTCAAAACTTTCTCGTTACTATATCAAGAGAAAACCATTCTTCAAACTCTATTATCATATTTATACCTCACTGCTCTCCGAGAAGTTTTCGTGACCGGATTTGGTAGCGTGGAACATCATGGCATTCTCATCTCGGAAAAGTTTGTCGCAACTGAAGTTTGAGATAATTTTGAGTAGAGCAACCTTTCTCAAACTAACTCGTTACATTTGAAGCTGTTGGCCGTTTCCGGCTTTTCTTCGTTAGTTGTGCTCTCGGAGCCGTTTCCACTGTTCATGATCCAATCGATAGCCTAAGTGAGATGTTGATGGCTATTTCCAAGGATAAATACTACCGATTCAAGTGAGCCGTTAGCAACAGAAACCGCTGCCTCGGCTTTCTCCTTGGGAAATCCCATCTCCAAAAGTTGATCTAATACGGACGTCATCCCTGAGTGATCCTTTAAGTGAATCGAGATTGATGATTTTTTTTCAAAGTTCAAGATAGCAGATAATTAAAAACCACTACAAAAATAACAAACGAGAAGCTCTTAATAGGGGCTTCGTGAATATATCAATAGCGTTTAAAACTAAGGTTTCATGGAGAATTTCAAACCATTTTGTAGCGTTTTGCGATCGGTTTCGTGAAATGAATCTCTTCGAACAAGCGAAAAAAAAAGAATAACCAAAAGTTGAGGATGGAGATGACAAAAAAGCAAAATAAACATTGTAAAGCATTTAAAATTAATAGGAGGATTTTTCGCTCCATGGCACTGTTTTGAAACAGATTGCCATCACTCGGACATTGGTAACGCCAAATGGACGCGGTGCGGACGTTTCTGAGCAATTATAGGGGTCACTTAGGAGAGCTGACGCTACTAAAGTGGTCACTAGAAATGCTCCGACACGTTCGGGTTTGCGTTACGGTTATCCGAGCAGACACTGGTGACGCGAAAAAAAAAATTTCTGAGCGTTTCTGACCATAGCCATTAATTAATTGCTTTAGAAGCTTCTGCGCACCGAAGTGATCACTAGAAGGGCTCAGAGATTTCCAGGAAACCTTCGGTTTGCCTTGAGAATGTCCGATTGACCGGCTCTTCTAAAATCACCGCTGGAGATGTAGAGTAATACCAAGATCTATCTTTCTCTAGCAGTGTAAAGAAAAAAGTCCCTCATCAAGTTTAGTCTCAAGCCAAGAAACTGTTCTTTCTCTCGAAAAATCTCGAAAGGTATAACAGGCGTCTGCAAGAAATACAACTTGAAATAACAAGAACGAATCATTTTCTCGAAGCTTATTTTATTGAAGTGAGCAAAAAAAACATTCAAAAAGAATGATGACATTGTTTAATATTATATTATTTTTTTACAACATGAAAAATCACAGATGGGATGACGCATGGAAAAAGGAGATCAGGTCATGTTAGGATGAAGTACTGTTGATGGGCCAACCCAGCTTGTCGATCAGCGTCCACCCATCATCACCAGGTGACATGGAGACAAAGAGTTTCTCCCCTGAAAAATTTCACTGTTTACAAAGTTATTTTCGAAATTGATGGTGAATAAGAAACACCCTCCGGACGAAAAAAAAAATTCGAGCATTCGCAAAACCGAATTTTTTTTTGAGAATCATTAAGAACAAATGCTCTGTGTTTGAAAACGAAAGAAACTGGCTAGGATGTAGTAAAAATCGCAGATCTGGTCAGAATTCCTGCGGTTGGTGGTCCTAGAGGGAATTACTCAAAAACAAAAAAAACTGTCTGCTCAGCGTAAGGTGCCGGACAAGATACGGTCAAAAATGTAAATTAAATGCTTTAAAGCTGCGTAAGTTTCTTTGAACACTCCTATCATAAGCAACACGAGAAAATGTTTCTTTCTCAAAAAATCAGTTGACCATTTCTAAGCAGATCTCCTCGAGGAGTACCTACCACAAAAGTTTGGACCAGATCTACGAAGTTCACCACAGACCCTTACCTAGCGGCACTTAATTTTCGATCAGACCTTAGCATACATATTTACACTGATTTCAGTTTTTACTTGTCATAAAGTAGTACTTCTCATTTATAAGAACTTTATCAATTATCAGGGGTTTTCAATCTTTTATAAGGGTACAGAAAAATCTGATTGCCGTCAATAATTTGAGCTGTGAGCTTGATAGTCTCGCGTTAGAATTGCAAAAAGGTAAAGTTCCACAAAAATTATTCAAAATTACCTAATGAGCTGGAGCAAGTGACGCAGCCACAACGTTGCGCCTCTCGAGGATCTATGTTGGATCGCGGAAGCTGACATCTCACGCAGCGGTATGAGTGCCCTGCCGTTTCGGCTGCGCAACGGACGCATTGCCACGTCTCGTTGCCTTCCATGTATGACGGTCGACGCGGAGGCCCTGCAATCCCGATTATATCCCCGGATTGAGTTTTTTTGACTGCCGGGACTCGAAAATTAATAAAAGAAGTGTCCGCCAAATTTTAAGAGTTCTGTAATGTTCTCATTCAAAAATTCTGCTATAAAACTTTAGAAAAGAAAAAAACAATACTTCGGTTTGAAAAAGTAAAAAAGGATTTGAATCAACAAACTCTGTTATGATATCGTCGAAAGTTCATACTGAAAGCTTTGTTAAAACTTTAATAAAAGATTTCCCTCATTTCCTAAGATTGAAGGTCTCCCAGAATACATAAAATGGGCCAGAATGCTTCGTTTTTTGGCCATAATAACAGTATAAAGTAGAAACTCACGAGGAGGTGGTACTAGTGTCGGATATTTGAGCCGCAATTCCTGTAAGGCGCGGTCCAACTCTTTGATTTTTTTCTGAGTCTGCTCGACATCCTGAAATATGAAAATTCGAAGACCTCGCAGAGATTATTAGCATACAGTGCTTAGACAGTCCCTTACAAAGAATTTCATTCAACTTCTGTTTAGTAACATTCTGAAAAGCAAAAGAATCTACTTGATGCCTTGCTCAAATATCCTGGAATCTTAACCTTCATAAGATCTTATTTTAGGAAGACAGACGCCTTAAAGTTAAAATTATTTTTTTAATTAAAAAAAGTTATCCCGGAAAAAAATATCCGAAACGAAAGTACCGTTGATAACTGCGCCGAATAGTTCTCGGCAATGACGTCAGCTAACACTTTTTGGTCGTCGCGAATTCGATGAAGCTCTTCACTTTCCGACTTTATACGTTGCCGTATCATGTCGAGTGCGATTTGTTGAGCTTGAAAAATATTCTTTAGAAAACTTTTTTTTTTAATGATTAGGCATTCCTATCTCCCGAGCGGTCGGTTTAGGTAAGTGGATGGTTGAAAGTTGAAAAAACTCAGCCGAGAGGTATTTTAGGACCACCTGATGATAGTTCGATCAAAATAGAAGGAAAGGCTTTTCTTCTAGCGTCAAAGTTCGCATTAAACTACCAAGACTGCCCTATGCCGAACTTTGAGACGTCAAATATTCAAATGTAGCTTGGCCTTTGATCTTCATTCCAAGACCCGGGAAAATCTTTGAGCAAGGTTCTATCAAAGTCTTGGCCAGTTAGAAAGGAGAGCTGGGTTTATTTCTAGGCCATTCTCAAGCTGGGATTTCAAAAGGATTTTAATTTTCTACGCATAGGCGTCAGAGTCAGATCCTATTTCCAGTTAAAAAGTACTTTCTGGTTCTGTCTAATTTTCAATATTTATCGTAAAATGAACTGCAACAATACCGTTCATTTCTAAATTACACCAATTTAAAAAGAATAATATAAATCAAAAAAGCCGTTACCTCTACGGACAGCTTGCGTTGGTTGATCATGAACATCAACTTCAGGCCAAGAACTTCTCGCTGGATTCTCGACATCGACTGAAAAAATTTGCAGTTGTCATTGATATTTTTTTGAAAACCTCACTTGTCAGAGGGAAGTTTCTATTTGAGTGGTTCGCATTCTCATCTGCGGAAAAAAATTCAAAGTTATTTTTATTCGAATAACAACTTACAGTTAAAAGCGGTCGAGGAAGATGTCGAAGGTGGCGACATGACAGGACGTTCTTTGAAAAAAAGTTTTTTCCCCATTTTCTTAGCGATTTTGTTCAAGTCCTTTTTGGCACTATTTTCAAGATTGCTTATCAGAGATGAAGCACCCGTGGAGGGAAATGCGCGAGAAGGCTGCTGCTCCGCGGAAGACTGCATGAATCGCAGCTTATTTATAACTGAAGCTTTTTTCTTTGTTCTGCACCATACTGAGAATGGTTTGTTCGATACTATACACGACACAGCGAATCGATGATCTGCAAATGCCACTGCTGCGCACATTTTCAACTCTTTTCGTGCTTGCGTGTGTTCATTCCTAGTTGCGGAGGTTTCTAACTTGAAACATCAAAACACCTTATTTTTTTTCTCTACGAAATATCAAGGTATAGGAATGAAATTTTGGATACACTCCGACTTGAATATTAGTACAAAGACGAACATCTCAAGCAAATGGATATAAAAGCTGCGGTTTTCCTGCGAACGTCTTTCATCCTGCACCCCCTTCAATTTATTTGGTGGTGTGGACAAGTTGCAATTTTTCGGCATACACGCTTTCCTTACGAGAAAATCTTACAACTTTTTTTTCTTATTATCCAAACACACCTATTTTCTTTTCACTTGCATGCCCCGTTCAATAGTCTCGAGCCAGTATTAATGATTTTTAATATACTTTGCTTTCCGAAAACTTAAGTTCGACGTTTCTTTGAAAATGTCCCAATCGTTTGAAAATAATCATCTCCTATCAATATTTCAGAACGCTTGGTTTTTTTCATCATCGGCTCAAATAAATCGAAGCAAGAGCGATTTTCAAACCATGAAAGAGGATGTTACAAAACGAAGGTGTACAACCAGACGAAAGAACCTTTTTATGCAGTTTCACTAAGGTTTCTATTTTTTTTTTTACACATGGCGATCAAAAATCTTATGTAGCTTTGAAAAGCTAGTTAAAAGAACGATATGAAAAAGGGTTTATGAATACTTTATCTTTTCTTCTGAGTACTATTTTTCGCTTCTTTGATTAAACTACTTTACAGGTGCGTATGTACGGGACAACGTCACCTCATGGCTCACCTGTCAGCTCACAATCTTATATCTTATACGACGTCAAAAGCACCGATACATTGCAAGGAGTCGCCCTGAAACACAATTGCACGGTAAGTAACGTGATTATATTTCACAGCAAAGTGAGGTAACATTCAATTTAAACTTGAAAAGACCGGAATTTTCCTACCCATACTTTTCACAATGACTCGCCGTTTTTTTTTAAACTAGGGGACAGTCTCTCCTGAACATCGAGTCGAGAACTGAGATTTTATGCGTTGGTAAGCCTAGATAAGTGTATTCGGAATCAAAAATTAAATTTTGCTAAACCGCTCAGGCAACCGAGAGAGGTAGTGGTCTTGCGCACCATACCTTCCCCAAGGTGGCCCTGATTTGAATATTATTTTTTTCCGAATCATATAGTCTGTTCAGATTTTGAATGTCAACCAGCTAACTCCGCCCCTGCTGAGACGGTACCTTTTTCGCGTCGATTTTTTTATCGCGCGGGACTAATTTTGATCTTTTTGATCTAAAAAGATAGAAAAAAAGAAGTGCAAAAAAATGCAGCATTATTAAAGGTTAATCGTCATCTGGATATAAAACATTGACGCGAAGGATATTGTAGCCTTGGGGGTGGAGTTAGCTGCTTGACATTCAAAATCTGAACAGACTATATATAACTTTCATGCCTTCAAGCAGCTTTACAAAACCTTAAAAAAAATTTGTTAAATGCGCACAAGTGTGCTATTTTGAATGTTGCTAATATAGATGAAACGTTTGTAGTAACACGCATGTTCAAGGCGGCCGGTCGTATTACGGTAATCAAGCTAGGTTTTTGGGTAATAAAATGAAAACTTGTGTACTCTTTGTGATTTAACTTATCTTGTAAACTCAAGAAATAAGTCCTTGGCAAATTGCAAAAAAGGAAAAAAACTCAAAAAATTTCCTGGCTCCGAAACTGGCGGCGCAATATGGACCGGCCACCGGAGCACTGTCTCAAACATGCGTGGTAATTAGATTCCTTTTTAATATTTATGCCGTGTTCAAAGTAATTTCCGCGAAATGCAAAATGGTCTCTGACCCTCCAAAATTTAGTTATCTTTCTCTTTCTCTGACAGCTATTTTGAATTTCGCGGAATCACTTTGAACACGGCATTAGGTTTGGTTTACTTTATCAAATTTTTCTGATAGCGGAAAAAAATATAGTTCAAAAAATTAAAAGTTAATTTCAGAAAAAGGTCACCAGTCCGGAAATAGGAACTGATGAGTAATTTTCATGTTAATCAATGCAGTCTTCAAAATTAATTTCCGCGAAATACAAAATCATCTCTGACTCTCTAAAGATTAGTTGTCTTTTTTACCCTCTGATGGCTATTTTGCATTTCTTCGCAAAATCACGTTGAGCACGACCTAAACAATTTTAAGAAATGAAGCACCGCGTAAGCTCAAAGAAAAAAAAATAGTAGAAAAAACTAAGATTTGATTGAAAGCTTGCTTATTTTAATATTCAGGTTTCTTCTATCGCTAGAGCCAACAAGTTGTGGTCACCGGATGCATTGTTCCTGAAAGAAACAATACGGATTCCGGTTTATGACGATCGTACTCTGAATGCAACCAACACAAGGCACCTTACCAAATTCGTAAAAAACGATTCACGGGTTAAAAATGATGATACAATAGGTGACATATTGAAGCGTATAGACCGTGATATTGAAACATCTTCACGATCCATTGAAAGAATTGGAGAGAAAATAACCTAACTATAAAAATACTACCCCTTTATCCACCATCCATTTTTGCTTCAACTTCTCTTATTTCTCGTGCTTTCGTATAAATTATATCGAAAAGATTGTATTAACATAACATTTATCAACAAAAACAAAAATTCAAGCCTTTCCGGCCTTTCTTGCAGCCTGTCGCAATGCGGTGGCATAAGGGTTCAACTTGTGCAAGAGTTGTCTTTTCTTAAGAGGGTTGCGGTGGACCTTTGCTGAGACAAGGTTTTTCTTCGGCGCGCGGATGGCCTTCACGACTTCTTCGGAGCGGATGATGCGAGCAAAGTCAGCATTCTGCATCTTGGCGAGCGGCACAGACCATCCCTTCTTCAATTCAGACGAGTTGGCAACCTGGGTTCCGTAGATGGCATCCAGCTTATTAAAAGCAGATTCGGTCCAGATGATAAGACGACCCAAATGACCTCCCGGAGCAAGCTTCAGAATGTTCAAGCGTTCCACGTTCAGGACGTCAACTCCAGGAATGTTGCGGAAAGCACGAGCGCATTCAGCATCTTGTCCATAGATGACGAGTGGTCCCAACTTTTGTTTGTGCTGGCGATTGCGCATCTTTCCTTTTCCAGCCCGAGTGCGTTTGGAGTTGTAGACCTTAAAAATTTCTAATTCATATGATATACTTTGGTTGAAGTTTACTAACAATTCTCACACAATCCAAAGCTGATATTTGGTTTTTTCTTTTGAAAAGGGAACACATTTTTAGGAGCTCAGATGATTCTAATTTTATGCTGCGTTCAAAGCTCATTTGACGCTCGTAGCAAAAGTTTTTCTGGTTCAAAAGCCCGAGCGGAATTGCAGCAGGTTCTTACAGCTTGGTTGGTTGGCCCCGCCTACCTGGCGAGAAAAATATTTTGAAAAATAAATTTATATTGTTATATTTTTGCTAGAAAAACGTAGTTGTTGAAGTAAAATATTTATTATATCCTAATACGTAGAAACGAGCACATAGCATAGATAAATTTATATTGGACATTTGCCAAAAAAAGGCAGAGCCGTCCAATCATATATATTTATATGGGTAACTCGGGCAAAACGGAAAAGCTCCTCAAAAGCTTTTCTCAAAGAAAGACCTTGAAAGGGTTCACATCAGATTTTTTTTTCATCTTATTTTATTTCATTTTCGCATCTTTTTCACATCCTTAAAAAAAGATGCCGGAGAGCAACTAAAAAAAGATTTAAGTAGATTCAAAAAAGTTTTCGCTGAGTCTACACACCAGTTCAGACCTACAGGGACCCGTCCGGTTTTCACTCCGCTGGCCATAATGAACCATTTTTTCTGTTTATTAAAATTAAAAAGGCTATTTTCGACAATAATAAATAAAAAATTACAGTTAAAAAATTCTTTTCACTGACTAAACACGCACTCCCCAAATTAGGCCTTTTTTCAAGGCTTGGTAGAGTTTGCAAAAATCTTAATTATTAAAGCTGTATCATTGAAAGTTCTAATTGTTTTTATTCGAATTTGTTCATTTTTTCGTACAAAAAAACTCGTTATTAACGAAGAAATCGCGCGAAAACCGCTATTGGTGTACGCACAATTTTAACATACAGTGTGCCTGATCTGACGGGCTGAACAGATTTGGCTATGAAAAAAATAGGTCAAAAGCTTTCTCTTAGGATCCTTCGAGCATCCTCAAAGGATGCTTTTCTGTTTTAACTATGAATTTGATATCAGCCTTTAAGAACGTTTCGTAATAGAAGAATTTCACGAGCCCCCAGGGAGATCTAAACGGTTCTCTCTTGGTATTCACTTTGAGACTCGAAATATCATATGCCGCGTTTAAAACTTATTTGACGCGCGTTGTAAAAGTTATTCTCGTTTATGTCGCGTTCAAAGCTAATTTCACGCGCGTGGCAAAACAGTTTTTCGATAAAATCTTGAAAAAAAAAAGTTGCTCTCGGTCATATGCCAGAAACGCGCAGCCATCCAATCACGCAGCGGAAAGCCGCTGCGCTTCGGCTCGAACATTTGGATCAGAAAAAATGTTGCACTGCGCTCGTCAAACTAGCTTTGAACGCGTCAATAACGAAAGGCAAAAAGGTTTTTGATAAATCGAATTTGCCCATTAGAAAAAACTTGAAACTTTACAAAAAATGTTCATCTTCTGCACGCATGTTTGAGACAGTGCTACGGCGGCCGGTCAATATATATATATTAATATCTTTATTTATAAATTTATTTCCACTCACAAACTTCGAAGAAATTTTATTGAAAAAAACCTTATCACAACATTGCATTTTTCACATTAACTTCTCACCCTTCTTACTGTTATAACGCATTGAATTGCGCCGTCAGTTTCGAAGCCAGGAAATTTTTCGAACTTTTCTCTTCGCGATTCGTTCAGGACCTATTTCTCGAGGTTACAAGACAAGTTACGTCACACAGAGTACCTAAGTTTTCCCTTTATAACCCAAAAACCTAGCTTGATTACCGTAATACGACCGGCCGCCTTGCACATGCATGCTTGTTTCGGCGTCAGCCTTTAATAAAGAAAAAATGATGAAAATTTTGAAACCATAGGTTAGTTCGACTTCTGAGGAAGTGTTAGGCAAACCAAAGTTATGTTTTTTTTTTCTATTTTGTAATGGCGCATTTTTTTTTTGGAACCATTTTCGTTTTGTTCGATGAACACTCCAATATCAATGAACTTCAATTTTAAACAAGACCGAACCTTCTCGATATCCTCCCACAGATGGGAACGACGCAAAAAGGTGACAGCTTCCTTGGTCTTGCGGAATGATTCAACTTTATCGCTCACCACGAAGGGAACTTCGGCAACCTGAAAAAACTACAACTATTCGCAAAAAATGACATTTTCGTACGCGAAATAAAGTACTTAAGAAACATATTATTAATTAAATCGATTGCCGTGTTCGAAGTAATTTTTGGCGATTTCAAAATTGAAGAGTTATGCCTTTAGAATGATTTCGGGGAATAAACAGAATCGGAATTCCGTGAAGGGGCAGAAAAATAATTCCTACAGCGATATATCGCTGAATGATTTTTCACAGTAAGTTTTACGCGCGAATTGGAAATTCTAGTAGAAAATCCCCAAACAAATCCGAAATTTTCAGATGCCGTGTTGTTTTTCATAGTAAGTTTGGGGCTTTTAAAAGTGACGCGTTCATCGCTGTTCGGGAACCAGTCGAAACTGTAATTTCGGGAGGGCGTAAAAAAAAGTCCTACAACGATATACCGCAATATATGAAAATTTATTTTAACTTTTACGAACGAACTCAAAGTTTTAAAAATTTTGGGCATTGTCTATTGAAAATTTTAAAACCACACGTAAGAATTCACATACTGTGATATATCGTGTAGGACCCGTTTATTTCTTAAGGCTCCTAGAACCTTAATTCTGCCTTTCCCAAAAATGATTTTGAACGAATAAAGCGTCAATTTTAAAAATCGCTGAAATTACTCGGAACATGGCATGGCTTTCCAAATTTAGTCATCCTTTTATCTATATGAAGGCTAGAATCTTCGCGAAATCCTTTTCAAATCATTTTGTTCCATTCAGATTTTCGTGAAAAGCCTGTTTGTTATTTATACATTGATAATGCTGTAATTGTTTGAAAAATTTAAAAAAAAAACGGAACTGGCCTTGTCAATAACATGCCCGCGAGCTTGGACAAGAGCAGGAACGCCGGAAGCAGCGATGGCAGAAGTAACGGCATATCGTTTTTGAGCGATATTAACACGGCGGTGCCAGCGTCTCCACACCTTCAAAGGAGCGAACATATGTCCTCCACGACACATGTTTCCAAAAGCTCCCTGACCAGAGCGGTGAGTACCGCCGCCACGAACACGTGGAATACGAGCCACAGCGCGACCAGTACCCCAAGACTCCGCGGAGTGTTGCATACCTTGAACATAGTTTTTTTTTAAAATCATTAGAGTAGATATAAATATATAGTTATTCTTGAACGCAATATTCAAAAACCCTCATTTGAACTAAAATCAGAATTGAAAATTCGGCTATTTTGAACTTTTCTGAATCCCTATGAGCAAAAATTTCAACCAGAAAAACTGTTTCGCAGCGCTCTTCAAATCAATTCTGAATGGGGCATAAAGAATAAACACACTCGGGCAAAACTGAAAAGCTCCCCAAAAGCTTTTCTCAAAAAAAGACCTTGAAAGGGTCCCCAGCAGATCTTTTTCACATCATTTCAATTCTTTTTTGCATCTTTTTCACATCCTCTGACAAAAAGGATGCTGGAAAGCAACTAAAAAGATCCGAGAGGATTCAAAGAGGATCCTCTGAGGCTATGAAAAAGGTGCTCAAAAGCTTTTTTATATCATTTTAGGAGCTTTTAGAGGAAGCTTTTTATCTCCCTCTCAGGATCTTTTAAGGATCCTCAAAGGAACTTTTCAGTTTTACCTATGCACAATGCATCAAAATGAGAAAATATCGTATTAAAAAAATTACCTGCTTTAGTCGAGACAGCGTGAGCTTGTCGTTTGTTCTTGAGAACTTGATCGTGAATGAAGCTGACAACATCCGGCCTGATAGGAGCGCGAAAAACCGCAGGCAATTTGATTTGAGCTTGAGTAGCCTCGTACTTTTCATCGTACACAGTTACAAGCGGACGGGCCGCCATTATTACCTGAAAACCAATCGTTATGAAAAATTAGAGGGCCTTGAAGAGAAAAAAAAACGCGACATTTTCTTGTGAACAGTACTTGAACCTGCAAAAACGAACAGTCTTTCAAAAAAATTTTCCAGTATGTTGAGAAAAGCAAGTCTTAAATGACTCAAAAGTTAAACACCGATGACTACTCAAGACTTTTTTTTTTGATGCTTTTTTGAACAATACATCATGGTCTTTTCAATAATCTATGTAAATTTGAAAAAAAAACGCACTAAAGTTGAAAAAAATAGTTGCGTATTCATTGGAGGAAAATAAAACAATTAGTGTTGAAAAACAAAATAAAAAATCTTGAAAACCAAAAAGATTGCAAAACTCGTAAAAGAAATACAGTCAGTACATAATTTCATTCATGTGATGGAAATGTTTCAAACTATAAAAAAACAAATCCGATTTAATTCTTCAAAGGCGAAAAAAGCACGCTGTTAAAAAATGTATGACGTGTTCATCGGAAAAAAGGAATATGCTTCGACACGCAAAAGCTTATTCATCGGCACATCGAAAATGCTTCAAAACAGTAGCAATCGTTGTTTTGGAAAATTTTTTTTGCGTTTCGGAACAATTTTCTTTTTCTCCAATGAACAGAGATGCGGCAGAATACACAAAAATGACAACAAAATGTGAAAAATGAAAAACGAACATGTGTTTAAAAAAACTCAATATTTAGCTTCATGATAATTAAAAATATACAAAAATCATATTTTTCACTCTCTGACAGCTATTTTGATTTTCCCGGAAATTACTTTTAACACGGCACGTACAAAGGCATTATTTTTGAAGCGTAATGACATTTATAATCTGTTAAAAAAGAAAAATCGAGCAAAAATTTGTATTTTCGTACAAAATAAGCCCGTCCTCTTCCGAGCTGAGTATTCAACTGGCGGAGAAGGCGTCTACTGTATATTGACGTATGTTGTGTCTTTTTCGCCGCGGGACTCGCACTATGATAACTCAAAAAATTTTTACACAAATTTTATTTTATCGATACATTTAAATTTGATGAATATCTTGTTTATAAAGATCCAGACGGAACAGAAGAAAAGTACGATTTCTGTCGAAAATGGTGAAATAAGATAATCGAAATATTATAAAAATTTTTCCACCATGTATTTTTTTTAGATGCGTCGTGTTCAAAGTGGTTCCGCGAAATGCAAATTGGCCGTCATAGAAAGAAATATATAATTAAATTTTGGAGAGTCAGAGATCATTTTGAATTTTGCTGAAAAGTACTTTGAACACGGTTTAAGGGTTTTTTTTTCATTACCTTGATTTTTAAAAATCAGATGGATGGGGCTTCATACCAAGCTTTCAACGTTGTTCAAAATACTCTCTCCGCGTCGGGAATTTTGCAAAGCAGAATCTTCAAAGCAGTGGCTGACGAAGTAGAGCAGTTTCAATCAACTTTGGTGTCGATTTCACAAAATCACTTTGAGGTCTGCCTTTTGCGAGCAGAATTTTTTTTTAGAGATTTCAGCATAAAATTGTGTGAAGTGGATAGCTTGTAAATAAGGTTATTAAAAAAAAAATAAAAATTGGATGGATCATGAAACATGAACTTTTGAAATCTCAATGATCAGATTTCGGAAATTCAGGCATGATAATGTTCAAATTCACAGAAGAATCGGGGTCAGGTAATAAAAGTATGCAAATAATTGATCTCAAAATGGATCAGTATAGTATAATAATATGTATATTCACTGTCATTGCTTCAGCACTATCGAAACTATACCGATGGTATACCGCAGAGGTGGAGGATGGCTGCCCACTGGCCGCCCTGCCTGCCAAGCCATAAACGCCCAAAAGCAGAAATGACTTTTTCAATAGTAAGTCAATGAATCATTTCTATCGCTTGGCCCAATGGCTTGGCTTGGCCGCCAAGCCAAGGGCTGCCTTCCCAATCCTCCACCTCTGGTATACCGAAAGTCGCTCGTGTTTTTTTTCTGGAACCATGCAAGGTATACTCGTGGTAACATCGTTAGCATTCAGAAACGTCGAAAGACTATTCCTTAATTTTAGTTTCACGATAACTATGTCTGATCTGTGTTGCAAAGAAATATGAGCCTTAAAACAATAGAAAAAACGTCTCAAACATTTCAAACTTGAAAAAAAAATGGAAAAAAAACGGCCGAACTGACAGACTTTTCCAACACGCCTTTCTCGTATTTGCGAAATCATTTTGAAAACTTAACGTCATTCAAAAAAAGCCGAAATTGCTATGAACGCGCCATTTATAACATGCGTGCACTTTTTCAACTTTAAAAGCGGTGTCGAAGTGCATGAAGTCTGATGAACCATGTAGTCGATATATTTGTGCTTGCTTTTTCTAGTATGGAATTTTTTTAAACTAAAACGAAAAATTATAAAAAAACTCAATTTTAATTCCCTCTTGAAATTATTTTTCAAATTTGAAGCGCTCTTTTAAATCAATAAACCTTTTAATTTCTAAATTACAAGTGTGATTCTGAGGCGGAAATTTTTTTTAAAGAAACCCGCAGAAGACGCCGGAAAACGCTCACAACAAGCTGAATGTGATTCTCATCAGCCCGTCAAAAACAATATTGATGAAGTTATCTGCGATTTGATTACAAATTCGTCGAGATTGTTGTTTGCAAAAAGGATGCCATGCTCCGGAATGAATTTTTCACGTGCATTTTCCTATTCAACACTCGTGTACACCCCGTTCCATGAACTCTTTTCATACTTATCAATTTTTAAGACAGTTAACTTTAGGTCATTTGTTTAATCTAGTTGAGCTGTTCGGTCGATGGGACAGCTCGATGAAACTTCGCGTGATACAAGTTTACAATTGGCGACATATCTCATCAGCAGTGAGGAAACGTTCGAGAATGACGAAGTTGCAACATTGATTTGGAAGATATTCAAAGTAAAAGATTGTGAGTTTTTTTGAAAAAGAAGGAAAAGTTATGAAACTGACTAGTGAGTCGAACCGGAATTTTCGAAAATATCATGCGGTTCCTCAGTTGGTTTACAAACACGCAAGATAAACCGCGATATAGCGATAACGATTGGAAAGTTTTAGTTAGATGTTCAAAAAAATTCAAATATCTATTGAAACGATTGGTAAAAAGTCGAATTAAATTTAAATATTCTTAAAAGCTCTTCCAAAGCAAATTTGAAACCTACCTCGTAATAGGTTATATTAAAGAGGTCGTTTAAATCTACCAAGTGTCTCTTGTGTTGTGAGTCCACATGTTTCAAAAAGAAAATATTAGCAGTAAATTAAACGAGAAACACTTAGTCTTATTGGAAAATATTTTTTCATGATTTTAACAACCGAAATCGACCACACATTCTAGAAAATATTCCTTTTATTTTATTTATGCGATTTCTGCATATTGTCGAAATGAATCTGTGAAGCGACTATAGAAATATTTCCGGGAAAGTGCATATTACATGGAACTTAGACTTACACTCACTTACTGTCCTCTTTTTTTTCAGATGAACACAAAGATGTGCCAATAGTTTTGAGAGCCGGCGATCTTCTTTTGAGTCGCTTGGAAAGCACTCCACTCCATTTTCTCTCTACGAGTGAACTTGCTAATCTTATATTCGTCATTTGTGGATCAGAAGTTTCTGATCAGTCTCTATTGAAAAAATGGGCCAGAGCAGAATGGAAAGAAGCCGGTGGAGAGATTCTGGTTTCAACGAGTGGAAAGAATGCGAATGTTGACGTAATTTATTCTCCTTCTTATTTAAAAGTTAAAGTATCCATTTCAAGACTGTTCAAAATGGGAAAAAAAATTAGACAAAACTCTTTCAAATAGTATTTTGTTATTTCAGAAGCAGCTTCGACGAATTTCACACAAATACGTAGTGAAAAAAGGACTGCTTGCCAGATTTTTTGCCTCTGTTTGGAGAACTGATTTGGCCGAAACGTCGAGAAAGTTTCGTATGAAAGCGTTCGAACAGATATCCATTACATGGTTTATTTTTACATGAAATTTAATGTTGAAATAACTAAAATTTTAGTGATAAGGAAGCTTTGGATAGCGCAGAAGCTGTGTTGAAAATGGACTGGGATGATGCTTTTTCGGAGCTGAACTCCGAGATAGCGCAACAACTATGCTTTTGTTCCTTCGCTAATCTTGCGAAGTTTGTGATTCGAACGAACGTTATAGAAACTCTTTTCAGAGCTCTTGAGAATCATCAGGAATCTCAAAAAAGCGATGCTTTGGATAGCGCTTTAAATTTGCATGAAGAGTTGATGCGCCTACTTTATCCGGTCCTTTCTCAAATGGTCGAAGTCAAAGAGAACTTTTCCAAAGCAATAACTCATGTGCTCTCGATGGCGAGTTCTTCTTTTGTAAACTTTCTTATTTTGGAAAAGTTATAGACGAACGACTCAAAGATTCTGTTTCACTTGCTGTCGTGTTTGATGGAAGCGTGTAGCTGGATGGAATGGAGCGACGAATATTTGTGTCTCAAAAATGGTCATCTTCTCTGGCAGAAGTTATTCGTCCTCCTTGATCATCTTCTGGAACTAACTGTAAAAAATTCTGCTAATGAATTGCAAACCAACGAGAAAAACAGACTTTGTGCACTGGCTTCTCCAGAAGAAGGTTTTACTTTACTCAGATTTTATGTCGAAGTTTTGGTTCAGACGATTCTGGAAAAGAAGAAGATAACATTTTGAACAAGTTGTTTGGGGAAACGTCAGATGCAATTACGAAAAAGAAAACCGAGGTGGAAACGGATTTGGTCAAGGTAAAAAAAATGACATTCTCAATTTCTAATGTAGATTTAGCCTGAAAAAAGCATTCTCTTCATTTTGAAAAGTCTCGTCTACTCACGAAACTGCGAGGAAAACGTGTCAAGACTTCTCGTTGACTACTATCCTAAGGTCTCTCCCTATTCTTCGAGTAAAAAAACGTTCATTTTCAGATGTTGGTGGCGGGTGCTCATAAAGAAATTTCGCAGTCTGTAAGAGGAATCTATGAGAAGCTGGTTAAAAAAGGCGTTATTTCTATGAATATGCAGGTTAATTTCTTTCAATCTGGATCCTGAAAATGTTTCATCTTCAGTTGAACATAGCAACCACTATGCTGGAAAAATCAGATCCCGCTTCATTGAAAATTCTGGAAGTGATAGTTTTTGCTGCCTCTCCAAAGCTCGCCGCTCAGATTTCGAATAAATACTTCTCGAATCTATGTCGCCGCCTACATTCTGCCGATTTCCCTGAGTCTCTTCTTATTTTTTTTTTTTCCATGAAATTCATCTTTTCACTTGAAGAAACAACCGGAGCCATCTTATTTGTGCGCAAAACTTATTGACGCACCTGAAAGAAAAAGAAGCTGTGGAAATTGTTATAGCTTCTATCTGCGCTTTCAACGAACATTCAGCCAAGGATGAAGGGTAAAAAACAAATAAAAAATTACCATAAATGCTTTTAAATTGCACCCGTTTTAGTTCAAACTGTTTGGGAAGCATCGCTCTTCTGATCGAAATAATTTTGACAAATGGAACGAGTGTTGGAAGTCCTCTTGAAAAGGAAAATTTTCTCAGTTTTCGAGGTATCCGCAAGATCGACAACTGATTTCAACCTCTCAGACGCTCCTTGGACTTTGAACTTCGCTGCACTTGGGATTTCATTGGCGCAATGGGACGATTTCATGCAGAACTTTTCGAAAGTTCAAGTCGACAAATGCGATTTCCATTCTTCTCTTCCTTTGCTGAGCTATCGACAGTTGAGATTGTCCGATGACATTCAGTTTTCGGAGGAGGTTTACGTCTGTAGGACGATCCCTCACTTGCAAAACGAGGGAAAAGATTTCTTTTTGGTGGGTTCTTTTTGATATCGCATTTGTATTGGAAAAACCGTTTCAGAAATTTTTTGAAGGAGAGACAGAAATGATTGATGCATTTATGAAGTTTCTGACGCCGGAATCTATTGAAAATCACACAGCCCATCTGTTGAATAGCTTTGCGACACTTGTTAAAAAAGTTTTTTTCGGTTGGTCATCCTGTACTAGAAGATGTTTAAGGACGAATGGAGGCCATTTGTTTTTCAATTCGAAAAATGTTTGAACGTGATTAGCGAGCTTCCGTTGAACGTCGGTATGGACAATCTCAAGACCGCGATGAGATATTTGAGCACTACGATTTCTATGGCTAACATGTGAGTGAGAATAGCGCTCCTTCAACGATTCTGATCCACAGTGCCGACCTCTTTCCCGAAGACGATATCAACCGTTTGGTCTATCTATGTAGGATCTGGCGGTCCAGCCTGCTCAACGATTTGCCATCGACACGCTCGAAATTAATCGGCAATTACATTTTGCCAAAATGCAGTCTGCAATTCGAGCGATCCAAAGGCGGAGACGCTCCGCTGACCAAGAAGGTAGATTCGTCCACACTGGGATACACTTCATTAGAGGTTCTCAAAGCGTTTTGTTTTCCATTTCGATTACATTTCTTACAGGCACGCCATTTCGAAAAAAATCCGTCTAAAGGAGTGGACAAGAGATACGCGGCTCTGCAGAATGTGTTATCTCAATTGTGCAGTTGTTTGACCAGCATCTTCGTTGCGTTCGTTTTCTGTACGATTCAAAGGATATTAAAAGATCTTCAGAAAGAGCCCAGGTGATCTTGAATTGGCCGACTGGGCTCAGGACGTTTCCAGCAGTACGCTATTCCCACCTCAAGTTTCGCTGAATTCTGGAATTCATTTGAAAAAAGTTTGCTTCTTAAAAAAACTTGAAACAGTGTCGGGCGTTTAGATAATGGGTTCGGATGTGGCTATGCAGATGCAAAGAATATGCGTTCTGAACATAGCTCTACTAGGCGCATGCTACAACTGCCCAGTGCAAAAATATGAAGCAATGTAATTCATTTTTCAGAAACTTGTCATTTTGACCGGTTTTAGAGCGCTAAACGAATATTTTTCGAAAATTTACCTGGAACTTCTGGCAAAGTACTCTAAAAAGACTTCGGTATGGCTACTTTTATTCATTCCTAGGACTTCTCGTTCACTGTAACATTTTCAGACGGATGGTGATTCAATAGGGAAACTACAAGAGGTCATGGAAATTTGTTCAAAAGAAAACTCGACTTTCGCTTTGCCGGAGTCGCTGATCACTGGGTTATACGAGATTATTCAAGACAAAAGTGAGCATTCTCTCCGTTTTCATCTATGAAAGAAACGACGTTAGACTCGAACTATCTGACGGAAGTTGTCAAGAAGCACTTCACCAGAAATATCAGCCTTCTCGTTATGTGGCTCACAAACGCCCGTTGTCCACTGAAACTTTTTGTCGCGTTCATTCCAACTCTTTCCCACATCGCTACATTGGTAAAGTACAATGTCTCATATTTATCTATCATATTTTTCAGATTGACAAGAAAACTTTCTCAACGACTCTCACCGAAGCGATTGATGTCATATTCCCTCTGGACTTTGCCGCGGTCATGTCTCGGAACGACAGCGCCAAAGTTCAATGGACGGAGAAACGAGCCATGTCAGCCCTCAACTTTTGCTCCGACGACCAATGTCCGTTTTTCATCTCATATTTTAATATCAAAAAGTATACAGCATCCCCGAACTCGGATTTTCAAAAAGAGCAATCTCTCGTCAGAAGGGCGCTCACTTTTTTCAGTCAACACGGTAATCAGCAGCTGGATCACAAGGTTTTTCTTGTCCGAATAGAAAAAAAAACGCGGTTATAATTTTAAAGAAATCATCCAGTTATTTGTGAACGAATGAGTTATAATATTTAATCAGTCGTACGAAAAAAATTCAGTTAGAAAAATACTTCAGTTTTACACCAAAACTAAATTAGAAATTTCTGTATTTGTTTTTGGGGCATTCTTTCCCTCTTTTTTTGCACATTATTTTCCTCAACTGACAATGGAGGTTTTTACTTAGCGGTTGGGATTTTCCTGAAAATTGGACAGGACGCTTCTTGATGTACCAGAAGACGATTCTGAAAGCTTCAACCTGCACAAATGTTTCGTTTTTTAGAAAAGACGCCTATATGTTGAACCCTCGAAATCTATCAAAATAGGCTTTTTTGGGGCTTTAGGCCCTTATTTCTCGTGAAGTAGAGAGTTGTGCAAGTAGAGACTTTCAGAATCTTCAGCTGGTACACCAAGGTTCTGGCTTGTTTTCAAGAGGTTCTTTAAGCGTAAAATAAAATGACCTTCCCTGTGAGGGGTAAAATTAGAATATGAGCTCAAGTCAGCGCTGAAAAGCAAAATTACAGATAATCGAAAAGACATGCAGTTTGATAAATACGGGTTTCAAATCGATAGGAGACCACGTCAACATTCTTTCTGGAAAAAGAGACGATGGCTTGGTGAGTGAATGAGAAACTTCTCGAAGACGCTTCTACAGAACCAGGAAGTTCTATTCGATGTCGTTCTGCTTACGGAGCTCTTGACGTACTGCGTGGAAGTGAGCAAGCAAGTGGGAAAAGCACGGCCCGCTGCCGAGGACATGTACAGTTCGGATGCAGAGGACAACAAGGTGTTTGGATCCCTTTTTTCGGAAAACATCGGTTCTTGAAGGAGAAGGAAACCGATGAATCTGTGGCTGCCGTCAAATTGGAAAACCAGGCGAACTCCAAGAACTTTCTTTGCACCTACACTTCTACGGAACAAGGTAGTCCCGATCTACTGATTTTATCAGTTTTTTCGTTATACTCAGTTTTAGAGTTTATCAATCAGCATTGGTACAACTGCTACACTTGTTCCATGGTCGATACGATGGGCGTTTGTAGCGTTTGCGCAGTGAATTGCCATCGCGGTCATGACCTGTCCTACAGGTACTCTATTCTATTTATAATTTTTTCTCCCTTCTTCCTAAAGTTTTCTTGGTGAATCTTGTTGATCTTTTCCATATTTTGGTTCCAGCAAAGAAGGATCTTTTTTCTGTGATTGTGGAGCTGGTAAGTGCGCGTCTTTGGTCTCCACAAAGTATGCTCCGAATGTTCGCGACGCCGTTCGTGGACGTCCTTTGCTGGCTATTGTAAGCTCTTTCTAATTGCAATGGGAAAAATGCTCAAATCAGCCGAAATCGACGCCATCCCCTGTAAGTAGCAGTGTTTATAGCCTTCAACACGAAATAAACGAGTACGGCCACTTTTTGGAAGATCTGGTTTGCAAAATTGTTTCTTTTTTTAAAAACTTTCGGCTTCAGAACAACTTGAACATACAGCTGAGATCCATGAGAGATTCGCTCTCAACCTTCTTCCAAGGCGTCACTGAAGCAAATGAATTGTTGTGGGCGTTGGACGACAGAAGAAGGGCTGTTTTGGAAAGTTTCTCGAACGGGAGCGCAGTCAGTCTCATCACGGACACTCCTCTGATGGTAGGATTGATCCGGTTTTCCAATTTGAAGAGACATTTGTTATCGCAACAGGAGAGCTTCAACGACAGCCGAGAGAACAACTTGATTCCCTGCAGAAGAATGCCGGAAGCGAACTCTGACAGGCTCAAGAACAGGGACATGGCTGATGTTCTTCGTTTTGGTGAGAATGGAACCAAAAAGATTTAAATTATTTCATTTTCTCTTTTCGACTGTTCAAAAGCTATTATAAAATCAAAAAGCGTTGCTAAGAAAATTGAAGTGCTTACAAGGAAGGTCATTTTACTTCCCGGTCGAGAACTTTTTGAAACTTGGTTTCCTTGACGCACCAAGTTGAGTTCCTGAATGTCCCAACCTGCATACCCATCTAGTTTTTGAAAAATGAAGGCTCAAAGTCCCGAAAAAAAAGCTCATTTTAACGGACTTTGAGGGTTTTCTCCGTCTTTAGGGACTTCTTTTTCGAAAACTAAGAATTTGTGATACTTTCAGGATCTTGATCTAATAGATCAAGGAGTGTTCTGTTAGTAGGTGACTTTCATCAGCATTTTACTTCTTCCATATAACTAATAACAAGCTAAAATAACTCATATCAAAATAAATGGTCGGCAACTTCAAAACTTCGCCGCACATCTTTGAACAACACTACTGAAGTGATAAGCTCTGTTAAGAAAACGAGATGGAACTTTGGGTTGTGTTGCCAGACCACACTCAGAACAACTTACTGATGTATTTCATTGACTCGCGCGCTGGTATCGTTGACGGTTTTGCAAATGCGGTAAAAAGCTTACTTGTCGAAATCCTGATTTCCCCATCTGCAGAGACAAGAATCAGAAACCATTCCTTTCGTTGGGAAACGCGTGGAGGCGCGTGGAGATCGGGTGGTCGTCTGTGGAGTGACTGACGTCTTCGTTTTGCGTTTCTCGAATGAAGGAGAGATCATTGATAGGCTGTACATGAAGATATCGGACAACGGTCTAGCTACACAGCTCACTCAGAACAATCCAATCGTCAAGGTGAACGAAGAGTCACAACATAGGCAAAGTCGGAAAGGGCGCAAAAAGGCTCCTTTTTTTGCTGCCTCTCCCTTTTCAACCTTTATTGGGTCTTAAAAATCCCAGAAAAAAGGGACTCTTTTTGCTGCCTTTTTTGCGGCCTTTTTTGAGCCTCTCCTTTTTAGCGGTCATTATTCACCATTCCGACTTTGCCCAAAAATTTTTGTTATTTGTCGCTCATCAGCTCTTTTTTTATAGGCAACTTGGATGAACGGCACCGACAACAGTCTGCTTCTGGCTGTTGCGACAATACAGTTTGTTCGGATTTACGACCTCGGCCAGGATGCCGATCGATTTGTTGAAGAGCTCGTCTTGCCTCTCGGTAGTTCTTCTTCCATTCTAAAAGTTCTCACTACTCATTTTGATTCAGGAAATGTCGAAGACATTTGTTTGTTCTTGCACAATGGGGTTGTTCTTCTCCTCGTCCTGAGCACTTCTGGATACCTCTACGAGCACAAGGTGGAGTGGAAACTCTTCAAAGCACATCTTCGATTTTTCAGCTAGCCTTCCCAAGAGCAGACAACAGTTCTTTCTTTTTAACCAACACCGTCAATTCGAACATGCTCAGCAGTCAAGGAAACAGTGGAGTGTGTGCTGGAGTGTGAGATACTTCCATCTGTTTCGAAGTCATTCCCCTCTTTCAGCTCCTTGTTTTATTCGAAAACCTTCAACATGGTCTTTTTATCAACGGAAAAGGGAGCTTTCTTTGCGAATTTGAGCGAAGACAACAGCACCGGAAGTTGGAATTGGAGAGAGTAATGACGATTCGTAAGATTAAATCTATGGAAAAGTCGCAGGCTCGGAATGAATGCGCCGGTGACTGCATGGCGAGAATCTTCGGGCGTGATTTCGGCTCTATCTTATCCGAATTCCAACAGCATTCACTACATTTATCTTTCTTGCGGCCAAATCTTGCACCAGGTGAACCGCGTTGAGTCGTAACTTGAACTTCTTTCGTTTTTAGCTCATTCCTCTGGGCCGACAAGCAATAGGTCATGTTTCGGTCACAAGCGCTAGTGGAGAATCAATGTACTCCGTTGTCCTGTACTGTGACTCTCCGACTGTTCAGCTATTCCAACTGTACTGCGAAGAGACTTTCAGAAAAAAAAAGCAATTTCAATAATTGCAGCCTTTGGTCAAACAAACACGATCTCTGGATAGATGGCGAGAGAAAAGAGAAAAAAATTGTTGAAGTTGTCAGGAAGTGTTCTGAACCTAAAGAGCTTCCAGAAGAAGATTTAGTTTTGGTTTGGAACTGATTTTTCCCCCTCCATACATGCTTTTTTGTAGCTAAATGAAAACTGCAAGCCTATCGAACGCATCGAATGGCGGAGTAAAGAACTGTCCGCATTCTATGAGCAGTCCGACCTCAACACTCGCCTAAGCACCGTTTCGAGTATGCCGATAAATGCCGTGAATGTGAGTCGCCAATTTTTTAAATATAAATTTGGATATGTAACATTATTTCTACACCAATTTTTCTGCCTTTCCATCAACTAGAAAAGTTTCAATTTTCAGAAGTTCTTTTTTTTCAAATATTTTGAGAACGGTTCCTCAGTTTAGAACTTGTACATTCCACAGTGGAAACATGATTTTATTTTTGATTTTGAAAGAGCGTTTTGGGAAAGGAATCATACTATTAGAATAATAGAGTAGTTTGAGAGTTTCGTCGAAATTTCAGGAATGACTATCATAGTAGGATCGTTTTTCTAGGAAAAGGCTCAAATTTTCTTTTTCAAACTCAACAGAAGAGAAAAGCTGTGCCTAAAAGAACTTCCATGCATAAACTTGTGACAACTCCTTGTAACTTTTTTCATCAAGATGGAACGCATCAAGTTGACCGCAAGAGTTTTGGACACCCGGTTCGTCGTAAGAGCGTTGCGAATGGAAGTTCCAGCAGAGAGAGGACCAGCGGAGGTTTTTTTCCGCGTCTGCCAGACCGACTGATATTTCTTTTCAGTTGAAAATAGCAGGAAAGGTCTACACCGTCAGTACCCCCGTCCCACGAATTTTCGACATTCGTTTGACCCGAGCTCAATCTTATTCATTGTAAAAATTTCACAATACTTTGAACGAATTTCAGACCTTTGATTTTCAGGAATCCTCGAGAAATCGATGTTGAACTACGTTGTCGCAATGGACAGCAGAGCTTGACGATCACCTCTTTGCGACTGTTAGGAGCTAATTGCAACGAAATGGACGAGGCGCAGCCTCACATTTCCTACCAACCTTCCCTTTTACTCCCGCATCGCCTCGTCCTCTCTGTGCTCGATACTTTCACCCAGTTTGCCACGATTGGATTGACTACCGAAGTGGGATAATCACCTGCAGACCATTCCAACATTCATCTTCAGGCCGATCATGTTTGGCTCCACGATGTGTGTCAGAGTCACCTCGAGTTGCGCAACAATCATTTTGAAGTCGTGGAAGCGGCTGCATCTTTGCTCAAAACCATTCATCTGGAGGATACAGTCAAATGCTACGAAACCAAAGACAAACTCCTCGTCAAGCAGCTTTTCTGGCTTTCCCACCTGGACACCGTGCGATCTACAAGCCAGAAGTCGCGCTTACAGTTGCTTGAAAGACTTTTGCCACGGCTAAAACGCTGTCTTTTGTCACGATGGAAGATGTTCTGGGAAATTGTTCGATCCTGTAAGTTTCCGCCCGAAGACGTGTACGATGTGATAAATCCTTTTGAGATTTTCTGGACGACATGGCTTTGGTTACATTTTTGTGCGATCAGTTGAAGTCCTTCACATCAACAACGGCGATCAAAATGGTGGAGATGATAACAGCTATCGTTTTCGGGCTTCTCGCGCAACAGTCCTCTCAAAGTGTTGAAATAACGAAGACTTACCTGGACCTTTACACCAACGATGAGGTTTCTCATTGAAAAAATAAAGAAACAAAGGCAATGTTTTAGACTTACCGACATGCTGCAGTTCTTCGTAATATGGCACAAAACCTTCTTTACAAGTTTGCCGTCCGGTGTCGCGATGACAGAATGTTGTGCCGTCTCTCCAACGAAGAAAATGGCTTGGTTGTTCTTGAAACTCTCGGTGTTCGACCTTTTTTCAGCATATCCAGAGTTTTCAAGTTTCTTTTTTTTCAATTGTTCAATCAACACGTTGTATATTCAGTTCTACCGAGCAAAATCCGATTGATTTGGCCAAAATGAACAAGTTGATGGGAGACATCGGAGAAGCGGCGAGTGTGTGCAAAAAGGAAATTTTCGAATCTGGTGAAAAATAGTCAATAGTTCAGGAATAACGAAAACTTCAGAGTGCTTTTGGATGGGAGATTTCCTGAGAGCAGTCTTGGTGAAAGTGCGAGATGAGGGAGCGAAAAACTCACTGGTTGCCCTAAGTTCGAGCGCAACGTTGGTTTCACTTCCTCTGGTAGTATTCGAATGGAAATTTCAGGTTTCTCGATACCCCATCCGCCAGTCTGTCAAACTTCGGAGTCGTTCTTATGGGTCAGTTCTATCCTGAAAAGCTTCTGACGGAGGCTTTATTTCTGGCGGATATGATTCCCATGGATAACAAGCTCGGAAATCTCAACGAGGACAACTATCGGTAATTTTTTCTCGAAGTTCCCTACAAATTATTTTTTAAGAACGTTCCTTTTGCTGCGAATGCTGAGCTCTTTGGTTTTGCGTTGGTCCAATAGCGAGAAAAAAGAGGAAACTGCCACTGGTCGTTTTTTTCCTCTTCTCGAATATTGTAAATACAAATCACTTTAGAACAGTCAACGAAATCCGAGGAGACAACTCAAGAAAACGTCAATCCGTCTGAGAGAAAACCGTCAAACAAACTGCTACATAAGGTAGGATGTTCATTTGAAGCGAAAAAGACACATTGAAAAGGTTGCCTTTGAACTCGTGGGGAGAGGCTTCATCGAACGTTGCTTCTCTATTTTCCAAGAAACAATCACATTCTGGAAAACGAAACGACCAGCTCCACACTCTCGCAGAGCTTTAACTCCACTTTTGAATGGCTCCACTACGGACGCGCAGGAAACTCCTCCACCTATTGATAGTTTGCTTTCCGATTCAACTGTTTTTCGAACTCCTAGTTCCAGGAGTTGTTTCGCCTGCTGCTTTGGAGAACTACATGGCTTCACTCACGGATGTTGTTCTCCGACTTCCCCTACAGTTGACCAAGATAACCGGGGTCCAGCTTGATCCCAAGTGGCAAGATCTATTGTGCGAGGTTGTCTCAGCCCGTTTAAATAATCGTTCCCTTTCATTTGAAGTTGGTCTGCCTTCACAACATACCCGCTCACAGACAGAGCAAAAAATTGCTCATTTCAATCTGCAAAGGTGATAAGGTGAAATACCGCGCCCTGCGAGACAAGTTCCGCATTCGGTCAAACCTCAAAACGCTCAAGGTTTTTTTCTTTTTCGAGAGAAATTTTTTGAGGTTGTTCTTGTACAGGCGCACTACAAGCACAGCGGCGGAGCGAGTGGCTATCAACAACTGACCGAAATGGTCGATATGCTATCGACGGTGACGACTCACGCCAACGTCCGACCTGAAATCTGGAGACTGGTCTGCGAGGAGGAGGTTCGTTGGTCAAAAACGGTCAGAAAACTGGTTGACGGCGCAGATCAATTGGATCCTCGACGCAGCTTGTCGAACCACTGAAGTGTTGTCTTGCTCGTTCATCGACTTGTTGGTGCTGGCCATCCGCGACACCAGAGCCACTGGAGAATCTTCGACTCTTTTGGCCGACAAGTGAGCAAGTTTCAGATTGGCCTCATTAGATGAATCTCGGAAATCAGGACACTATATGCTGAATAATCCATATTTTAGTTCATTATTTCTTTCAGTATACTGAGAAGGAGCTGAAAAGCTTCTTTTTCAGAGCCTCCGCGGATCTTTTTTGAACTCTCTCGAAATCGTTTTAGTTGCTTTCCATTTTTTTTTTGTTGAAGGACTTTTTTGACAACAGCTTTTGAGGAGCTTTTCCGTCTTGTTCGAGTAGGGATCATATGTCGCCGATACTATCTCTTTTTTAAATGTTTTCCAAAATTTGCAGAAGGTCTTTCAAGATAAGAGCTATTTAAAAAATTTTTGTACAGCCCTCAAAAAATCTGCAGCCTTGTTTAACATTTATATTTACTTTTTGGAAGTTATTTTTCCCAGAATAATCGGTCATCCGGACAACAATGAAATGCTGAAACTGATCACGCTCCGTTATCTGATTGGGAAAGATGAACAGCGGCGCTGGTTGATCCACGGACTTCTCCGGTCTTTGATACAGCTGGCGAGCCGTCAGAACCAGGTTTAAGAACGATTAGAATGGACATTTCAACTTTTCTTTGAGACGGCGTTGATCCGTTGTCTGTACCACGAGGTGTGGCCGCTGGCCCGAACTGTTGGCATGCACGGCGCCCAGTTGATCGACCTCATCTCCGCCTACTCGTCGCGTCTCTTCTCCTCTGCAGAGCTCACTCAAATGTCCGAGATGGAACTCGAAGCGATCATCGATATTTCAGAACGGTGAATCATTCATTGTGGACTGGAGAATCATTGTAGAAACTGGTCGTTAATGAATGTCTGGCTGAGCTCTAGAAACTCTTTTTGACTGCGGTAGGAGATATTTGAAGCATTGCTTTTTGTAGTGTTTAATCAGTTTTTTTTTTGCTTTTTTTTTATAATCATGTTTTAGGTTAGTAAGAATTGGTTTCGACCAGTGAAAAGGAGAAGAAAACCCGGTAATCCGAAATTTGAATGTGAATATTTTCTGTGGGATAGTCTTTCTCAGAAAGCCTAAAAATTAATGAGGAAAGCTTTGACGCTCTCGATGTTCCAATTATCAATCAGCGACACTCCCTAGCTAGGCCTAGATTGTGCATCTGAAAAATTCTCGAAAATGATGCTTGAGAAGTAAAAAAAAGCCCATAATCGACGTCACTCAACCGTCGAAGGGCCATCTGTGGTAGTTACCGACTTATGTCTATAGATTTTTGAAGTTTCACCCTGTTTTCTCGAACTTTTCAGAGCAGGCTGATATCCTCACTTTATCACAAGCAATTTTACTCAACATTTTTCCTGACAAGGAAAAAATGATACTGTCTTAGTTCTTAGCTAATGTTCACCAGTTCAAGTGAGCGCCAAGGGAAGAATCAAAAAAAGAACTGGTCGATCGTCATTTTTTATGTATTTTCGCTATTCAGTTTTGAAAGAGAGGGTCACGCAGCTCGTTATCGCCAAATGATGGAACTCGGACTCGGCTGGAAAACTATGCTCTACGCAACGAGTCCATGTCTCGTCTGTTTCAATCGCAGGGTTTATATTTTGTAGGCTATTCTAGGCTTCATGCCTTGTTTTCCAGGGGGCGACAGAAACGCAGAAAATGAATTCGATAAAGCAGGATTCCCGTTTCTCGTCGACTGCAATGATGTACAAGCTGTCAAGCCATTATGAAGTCAGCAGGGTGATGCTCAAGCTGATGGACGTGAAGAAAAACAAAGCACTGAAACGTGTCAACCTCTACTATTGTCCGAAGTCTGTGGAAGCTGTTGTCGAACTGAAACTCTGCCCTGATCTTTGGAGACGTTGCTCCACTACATTGGTTTGACTCCATCGGTTCACGATGATCTTTTACCTAATTTTGAAGGTTTCTCCCAACGATACCGATATAACGCTTTCATTGGCTGTGCCTGTCGTCACTTCCTCTCTGATTGTCGAGTTTGCCGAAATAACCGACACGAGACTCTCATCTGAACTTCATTGTCCAAGGTGAAGTTTTCTTTTTTTCGCTTGTTTAAATTTGTTTCTTAACATTTAATGTAACACTAACGACTGAAATTTCCTTGCAAGGCTCAGAATATTCTTCGCATTCTATATCTCAGTGATATCTTACCCGAAAAGAAATCACTCAATATATAAAAAGTACGACCCGCTGTATTAAAGTTTCTCTCTCTACACAAAAAAACTGTTTATTGCATCTTCAATGTAAGAATACATGTGCAATCGACTTTCATTGATTTCAACTGTGTTTAAACGGCGGCAGGAGCTGTGGCTTAGGCAGAGAAGTTGTGAATTTCGCTCGTAGAACATCAGGTACAAGAGAGGTCGTAGGAAGAAGTACGGTGCCGGCTTTCCAAAGGCCGATGGCAGAGATTGAGCCTTTTCGCTGCATGCAGCTTCCAATATTATCTACCCCGGAGGGATGAAAGGCTTGGTCGACCTCGGGGGGACTCGAACCTACGACCTTGCGGACGTTAGAAATGAGTTATGCCAGCTGAGCTATGCCGCCCCTCAAAAATAGCCATAGATGTAGAGCCGAAGTTGTATTTTTAAACACTTTTTGTATCAAAAAAAGGGTTGAATCACGTTCTAAGATGCCCGGAACGACCTCACGAGTATCTCAAAGAACCAAAAATTATACGTTAAATTTTTTTTTCATGTTCAGTTTCAGGTGTTCGGCTGTGGTGACGGCGCAGTCCGGTTTGTGTGACAACTGTGGAGAAAACGCCTATCAGTGCATAAAATGCCGTTCCATAAACTACGACGAGAGGGTAATAAACAAGAGAATGGTCGTGATATCTGAATTAATTGCAGGAACCCTACCTCTGTCAGTCGTGCGGCTTCTGTAAGTACGCGAGGATCGAGACTTTCGTCGCCTGTCGCCAGCTCCCTGGCGCTCAGCACATAACGTGCGACTCGGAACGCTCCCAGTGCATGGAAGAGGTCTCCAAGCTGTTGATCAACATCGAAAACACTCGGGCTCATCTCACAACCCACATGTCCTTCTGCGAATCGCTGTGGATCCGCGCACGACCTCTCGCCGCCCTCAACGTCCATGTGGAGAACAACTCGGTCGGCGATTTCTTCGCAGGCGCCGCCGCTTCAACTATGCCGGCTAATGCCTCTCAGGTGAAAATTTCCTTCTTGGGTTTCCCCATACCTGTTACTTTTTCTTCTTCCTTCTTTCTACGCTTTTGTACTGCTTGAGCGGCAGGCGATTAACCGAGATCCTATCCTGATATCAGTGATAATCAGTGGACTGGCTCTAGTGACATATCCGTCTTTTTTGGGACGGCTGGGGATCTTCGAAGTCGTAGTTTCCCACTACCAATATTTCTTAAACCTCTTGGTTGGGTTGAGGCAAGAGTCAAAACAACTTAAGACCTTGTGGACCGTAGACCTGTTGCGCTACGGCTCGCCCCATCTTGAAAAAACATGGGCAGACCTTTTTCCGGAATTAAAACTAATACGACCTTTCTGGGGCTAAAAGTTGTATCATTGTGGCTAACAGTACCTCCTTGAGGCGGAAATTTGATTTTTATTTCTAAATTTTGAAATTCTTGTAAGCCAACCCCTTCTCCCGGGCTCAATAAGTTCTGTTCTGCTCGTCTATGATCGTGAAACCCGTTTACTATTGTATTTTGGTTCGACAGAATGGGTTTCGTACAAATTCGCTCATATAGAACCATGATAAAAATTCTAAATAAAAGAGGTATTTCTGTAAATTTTCCATCGGTCGTGAAGGTGCCTCATGTGTCTTTGCAGGCTCCTGTGAGCGCTCTAGTTCATTCTGTGAACGCGATCAAGACGACACACGACGATTTGTGCGTGCAGACGCAGCAGCTGATCGCCTTCCGCGAAGAGCTCCGACGCTACGACGACCCCAACAAAAGTGCGCCCATCCTACATTCGGCCATCAACCAAGGCTTCTACTCTACAAGGTGTCATTTTCCGTTTGGAAAATGTTTACCTTTTTATATTGTAGCAAAACTTGTTTTGGATGTATGTGCGCCAGCACTCTGCATTCGATAGCCCTGTTGCAAGCTGCAGCTGACGATCCCTTGGCCGCGTACAATTTGCTCCAGTGTCCCACGCTCTTCGACCTCATCGTTTCTTTCAAATCGAGATTTGTATGAAAAATGGTATATCTTAGACCGATTTGGGAAACAAGTACGAACCGCTCCGCGACGAGGTTCATTTGCTGTTCAGTCGATTGTCCAGGGAAAACATCTATGCAGTGAAAAAGTTTGTTATTTTTTTAGTGTGTTATTTGTCGTTTTTCTTGAAGCGTAGAAAAAAATTTTTAGCTTTTACTAGGAAAAATTTAAAAGCTTTCATGTTTTATCGATTAAAAATAGCAATGTCAATGGATAAGCAAAATTTCATTGATTCAGGCTAGAGACCTTGATCGAGTACGGAAAAGTGGATGTCTCCTTATTCGCCAAAACTCTCATCACTTCCCCCGATTCATTGTGGCAACATAAGCTCAAGTTTCTGGTCAAGGTTTTGAAAGTCGATAGACTGGGAAAGAGAGTTCTTTGAAGTATGCAATGGAAAGACCGAGCGATCCAAACGCCATGGTGCTCGCCCTGGCCGTACTGAACCGTTATCTCGAAATTTCGAGGCCCATGCGTCAAAGAGCTTACCGGAGATACGCCAGCCGACGGCAGGACACTTATTCCCACGGAGGAAAGGTTTCTGACAACAGTCCTATTTTTCATATAATTCCCGTTCCAGAAGAAAGGAGGTCGTCAGATCTATTTGAGAAATTCGTATCTTCCGAGTGCCGACGTCGTCGTACATTGGCTGGAAACTGATGAGGAATGGAGCAACTGTATCGCGTCGAGTTCCGACAGCGAGAGCTCCCATGGCCTCGCCGCTTCATTTACAGTAACTCGTTCACTATTTTGATCTCCATTTTGGGTGTTTCTCGAACATAACTAGAGCTCAAAAGGTTTGAGAAATCACAATCTTGACTATGAGAAACGGCGTTCCGTTTATCACAGTAGTTCATGTAACTCCGTGAAAAAAAATTCGAAAAAAAGTTCATGAATAAATTAAGGGCCTTCAGGAAAAATTAAGATCACTAAATGAAGTATCAGTACTTGTATATTGGAGAAGTCATATGGTTGAAAATTTGAAAAATGTTTGTCTGGGAAAATCTTTTTTTGATGGCTTGAATCGAAAAAGCCCTGTACAAAAAAGTTTTGAAATGAGAATAAAATATCCCAATACAATACCATCAGAAAGATATTAAAAACGCGACTTTGGTCACAACTTTCTTGTGGAGTTCAATCTTCATGATAGTTTCTGAAGCAGCGTTTTTTTTTGTATACTGAACTTCCATCAGAGTGTTAAATAACTGTCATTATAGTCTGTGTGCCAAGACTTGAAATTTCACCGAACGACATTCCGCTGTTTTGCTGCGTGCGTTCGCGAAGCGTCTTTCCAATTTAGGTCAAGCTTTCAATTGATTTTTATCGCTGTGAGAGCACATGAAAGTAGAGTACCTTGATAAAAGAAAAAAAAAAATTAAAAGCGCAGCGGCTTAGCGGAATGTCGTTCGGGGAAACTCCAAGTCGTGGTACATAGGCTATACAACTCCAGAAAGTTTTAGAAGCATTGAAATTGTTACAAGAAAGTTGTGACCGAAACTCCGTTTTTTAATACCTTTTGTGACGGTACTGTAAGTATTCATATAAAATTTGACCACCCTTTTTTGAACAGTTTCATTGTAAAAAAAAAGCCATGTGAACAAAAACAAAAGAGCAAGGTTCAGGTTTTTAAAGTGTGTGAACTTTCTCAGAGACAAAGTCAATGGATCGCAAAATGTCTGTTCTCGCCGTACAGCGTCGTGCGCGCATCGGCCAATCGGTTGCTCGTCAGTCTTTCGAGGCAACCTGTGAGAAAATAACTATTTTGTTCTTCTTCAAAGCAGAGATTCTCAGGGGCATGAAGGCGTAGCCATCCGGTTGATTGTGAACTGCCTGCGGAAAATGGGATCGAAGTCTTCGACGGTCGTCGAGCAGTTCATGCACTCGGTCCACACGGTCCTCTCGACGTCGGCCAACACCAAAGCTCGCCTTTTCGTCGAAAGATTCCACATCTGGCTCATCAAAGCTGTCCATTCTGTAATCTTTCTACTAACTTCCCCAGGACCTCGTGTTCATTTTAGGAAAGCAAATTGATCCACCGTAAGGAGAAAGATGAGTCTACAATGGATCATTCTTTTGGATCAAGGCTTCGCAACTACGTCGGTATGTTTGTTTTAGATTTTTCTTTTCTGATTTTTTTGTTCCAGAACTGTTGTCCCTTCTTTTTTCGGGTTCATGTGTCGAGAATATTCTTTTGAAAGCGGCGGGCGACGATATATTGGAATTGCTACTGGACTCGACGATATATTTGAAAAGGCAAGAAGACCACAAATGAGAAGAGGGACTTTATGAAAAACCGATAGTAAAAAAAGGAGATAAAATATTTTTTTATTGTTATTTTCGCTCTATCTAACTCTTTACAGTATATGCTTCCGATTAGAATACGTTCTCCGATCCGAAAAAATCTGGATGTTTTAAACTCACTAGGGAACGTTTTTTACCCTTCGGTTGAACTTTTGCTGAGCTTAAGTGGTGCTTTTTTGTCGTAATTTGCGTATTTCGCGGACTTTGAAGCTCCGTAACTCGGAACCAAGATCTATTGCGACAAATTTTTTTTCTTGATCTGCAATTTTCTTGATCTGCAAAAGGTCCCTGGTCAGCTGATAGGTCACCACGGGTTTCGATAGTCACCGTTTCTAAAAAGAACGGATTTGTGTGAAAAGTAATGTTAAAGATTTTCCAAGGCTGTTCATTTTCGGATAAAAGTTTTAATGCGAAAAAGAGTCGAAAATCGGAGTTTTTACAGAATGATCGTACGACGGACGCGAGCCGTTGACGCATCGCGACTTGCCCTCGAGAAGCTCCTTCGACGCGTGAGCTGGCGCGACAGTCGAAATTTGATGCAAGCCGCCACAAACTCGCTCATTTCCATCAATGACATGAGCACACAGGTTCCAATGCGCTCAAGAAATTTGTATATATGTTCTGCCCAGGCTCATGTTGTTTCTCTGATGCTCGAAGTGATGGACCCACAGCAGAAGGAGGAAGAAGATTTCCTTATACAGATTGAGAAGGACCCGGCGCAGGAAGACTTTCTACAGGGAAGAATGACTGGGAACCCTTATAAGGTTAGATTCATTCAAAAATGAAAAACATGGTTTGAACGGATATAGTCGAGCGATTCCGGGATGGGGCCCTTGATGCGAGATATCAAGAACAAAATTTGTCGCGACACGGAGATGATCGCGCTGCTTGACGACGACAACGGAATGGAGGTAGCCAGTAGAGTGATTCATTGACTAAAGCTCGTTTGTTGAAGTTGTTGGTGAACAACATGATCATATCGCTGTCTCTATCGACGCGGGCAGTCTATGAAAAAATTTGGCGACGAGCCCATCCTGGACATCCGATGATCGTTATCTATCGGATGCGTGGATTGTTGGGCGACGCCGTCGAGACGTTTGTTTCCTCTCTTGGCGAAGTCTGTGGCGGTTTGTAATCATCGTTTTTTTGTGTTGTACCTCAGAAGATTTCCAGAAGACGGCGATGAAGACGAGGCTTTGGCAAAAATCACCAAATGTCTGATTGATTCTGGAGGCATGAAGAAAATCTTGTCCTTATTGCGAGATGCAGACATGTCCAACGCTGGAAGGTTTCAGAAATTTTCATATCAAGATTTTTGGAAATTTCACGCCGGTTCTCTTTCACAGTTCCGCATAAAGAAACTTGTTTCAAGAATACTTAGGAACTCCAAAGTGGTCCCTATAGGAGCAGGCCCTTGGAGAATCTTTCTAGGGACCACTTTACCAACCCTAAAGCTTGCAAAAGTGGCCCTTCTAGGGGTTTGTAAAGTGGTCACTATAGGGGACTGGCTAGTCGATAGTTTTTATGAACTCTAAGCGAAGAAACATTTCCATGAGAAAAATTGAATAAATAAGCTTTTTTTGAATGATTTCGGAGATTAAATCTCTATAGTGACAACTTCTTAGACCCCTATAGGGGTTGTCTTTCCGCTTTGACCCCTATAGGGACCACTCTGGAATTATGTATTACTAAATCAAACTTTTTAAAAATTATCAGTATTTTTTTTTCGCCCTCTCAAAATTATTAATGCAGATTTCTCGGGTATTTCTCAAGATTAAAAAAACATCTTCAGATCCCTTCTGGCACAGCTTCGCCGTTTGCTGGAGCGTGTCGTGAAAACGTCGGCAGGTCGCAGGGCGCTAGTTGAGAACAACGCTGTCGGAGTGATGATCCGAATCCTGCGAATGTGCGCCTTGGAATTGGCCGAAGAAAAAACGATGATGTTGGGGCTCGAGTACTTCCGAATAGTGGAAACAGTCGTCAGCGATGCTAGCCTTCATGAAGTTTCTTTCCTTCCTGATCATTTTATTTTGAACTTCGATTCCAGCGTTTGACCGGTGTCACTGAAGACGATGCGAATTGGATGTTTTCCACGTTGAGATCACGAAAAACGGAAGAAAACAAAGGTTTTTTGCAAGTTTCGTATGCGAATGACTTTTCGCGCTTGAAGAGGAAAGTGTTCTCCGAACGGATGAACGCCGGATCCATCAGATGTTGACGGAGACGATTGCACGCTGCTCGGGTAATGTCGTCATCGGTTGCGCACAGTCCGAAGATGTCTTCGTTTCCGAGTTGGTGAAGTCCTTGCAATGGGAAAGGATCGACAATATGGAGTAGGAAGTTCCAAGGAGCGTTAATTGAATAATTGTAAACAGTAATATAACTGCGCGAGAGGAGCTAATTTGGCTGGCTGAACAACTGGCCAGCATCACTTGGCATATCTTGCCTTCGCCGCAAGGAGCTTCCGTCAAAGACAAGATTCTAGCCAGTGGAATCGTTCAGAAGGTTCTATCTGATGCTCCCATGAAAATAATCAATTTAAATAGACCTGCGATTACTTGACCTCCAGTCATCCCTCTTTATATTCTGCGACAGAGTCTACGGAGTGGAAATCTTTTCTGAACAAGCCATCTCTCAGACTGGTTCGCTGTTTCTAACCTATCCTTCCTGACAACTTTTCTTTTTCCGATTCTCTCTTTCCTGCGAGGTCTGGTTCGTGGCAACGAGGCGAATCAGATGGCCGTGGCGACGTCCGCCTTGCCCATCCTTCACAGACTCGAGCACGTTGCCAGTGAAGATTCTATCGGCACACTTGCGGAGAACGTCATTGAAGCTCTCAAAGAAAACGCTGAAGTCTGTTATTTCTTTCAAATTCCCAGCTCAATCGATGATTCAGGTCGCCAAACAGATTGAAGCTGTGAGGCTAGAAACGAAAAAGAAGAAACGGCAATTGGCGATGGCCATGCGAAACAAACAATTGACGAAGATGGGAATGGTGATGGGCAAAAGCGGAGAAGTCAAGGTGGGTTCAATGTACTCTTAATAAACAAAATACGGTGAAATTTCGGTGGAATATCTGAAAAATTAAGGAACATGTTGACTTGATTCCACCAGGAAAATCACGATGGTAGAAAGGAATGCACACATGAAGTTCCGTTTTGCGGCCTTTATTGAGCCTTTCTTTCTTCGTGCACTAAAAAGCCTTAAAAAAAGGGTGCAAAAAGAGTGCTGAAAGTCTTGGCCGTTGATGAGTTCCGATTTTATCACTGTAGCACATTTTGGTTCATACTGGTAAAGATTATTCTCAATTAAAAATTTTTTTGTTTCTCTAAAGGGTCCAAAAAGGGTGGATGAAGGCCGATGAAAGGACGGAAACAGGCAGTAAAAAGGAAACCGTTGCCACCCATTTATGAACAATTAAAACATAACGGACTCTCAAAGGGTCCTTCCGACTTTGCCTATATAAAGTTGGCGATTGAAGTGGTGTTATGGTTCTGACAGGATCATGATTTCACCAGTTTCCTTTCAGATCTCCTCACGAAAGTTGAATGAGCCCCCACTGGAAGAAGACTGCGACCTGCTCACCGTCTGCTGCATTTGTCGCGAGTCTGTATTCTCTGGAGTTCGAACGGCCGCCGTGTAAGTGAAGAAACGAAAGACAAGTAAGGAACGAGGAAGCAGGTACGCGTTTGCTCTACCTTCGGAGAGTGACATTGCGGCTGGCGGCATCTACACGACCGTCAGTCAGATGGTTATGGTCCACAATGAATGCCACAACAACGCGATCCGGCGCCCCGGCGGACGAAACGTCGACGAGTGGTCCAAAGTAAAAGATCAAGAAAAAAACGTTTCACTCTGCAAGTCTTCTCAGGCGATGCTGCACAACGCAGGCGCCAAGTGCAATGTTTTGACCCCGATTGTTCTGGGAAAGTCGAGTGAGGAAGACACGCATGTGTCCATTGAGAGGTGGGTGATACAGAAACAAAAAAAGGAAAAAAACATCTTTTTTTTTTTTAAATTTGTGAGAAAATTTAATTTTCATCGCTCGTTCTTTTAAAACCATCTTTTAGTCGTGGCTAAAAAAAAAGAATTTTTTAAGTCGTGAAAAAATAGATCATTTTTTGACAAAAAATGGCTGGAGACTTAAGGTTCCGAGGTGACATCGAACATATAATCCACTTGCCCCAGGGACTGAATCGTCAAGCAGTCTTTATGGACATGTGCCAACTTGTCGACCGTTTCATTTACCAGCGGTATTTAGCGCCTCCATCTTTGGTCAATCCGTTCGTTCAGTTCGTTTTCGGATAAATCGCAGGGCGGCGGCAGAGAGTCCAACATGCAGTACTTGGGAGTCCTGCACCTTTTGGCGCTCTCCTTGCCCGCCGAGCCGGACATCCATGCGGTGGAGCCTCGTCACCGGCTCGTCTCCTTCCTATTCACCGAGCTCACGCTCCAAGGCTGGAACGAACAAAAACACGACGTAGCTCTGTCTTTGTAAATTTTGTTGTTTCAAAATGCTTTCTAGTACCTGAGAGCCGCCTTGGACGACGCCCAAACTCAAGGTGGTGGCAATGGCTGGGATCATGTGAAGCCAGTTTTCTTCGCCTGGGCTTTCATCGATAACTACTTCAATCACGTTATTCCGGTATCTCTTTGAAATAAAACATGTCTTTCAACATTGGCTGAGGTTAAGATAGTGGGAGACGAAAGAACTCAATGGTTGCGGGAAAACCTCAAATCGACCTTCACACGAACTTTGACATTCGTCCAGAACTATGACGATACAGTCATAAAATGCACCGACTTCCGTTCGTTTTGTGATGTCACAGGTTTTCAAATTGTTTCGCAAAAACTCCACTTTTGTTTTCAGGCCTATCAAGCGACTCATACGAACCTTTTGTGAGCAGTTGAGCTGCGAAACTGTATTTGTTTTCTTTGTTTGCGCAATTTTCGAAACCCAAACGGAATTTTTAAAATTCTTTGATAGTTTATTAATTAATTCGAGTGTAAAAAGTTCTATTTTTCATTACATTGAAAAGTGCTTTTGAAAATCGAAAAAAAATCGAGAGTATCAAAAAAGGAAAGTAACTCCAATAGAGCTTCAATAATCTAAAGGTAATGAGAAAGTATGAGAAAACCCGTGCAGGACAACAAGTTGAAGTTAAAGGATACCAGATTGGGGGGTCGAAATGAATTTTCAGTGGTTCTGACTACTATTTCTGCAAAAAAAAAACGATGAAACAAAAAAAGGGGGAGGGGGTACATCCTTTTTAAGGATTTCGAAAAGTTCGATGGGTAGGATATAAAAACACCTATGACGTTTGGAACCAGACAGATGAAGATGAAGCTAGATTCAAAAGAAATCAGAAAAAATTTTCAACTTTCCGAGAGCCTCAATAAAGAACACGGGGGGAGCTAGACTAATTTTAAATTATCGGGAAAAAAATGTTCAGGGGTCAATCTATGCAAATTATACTCTTAGTTTAATCGAAAGTATTTTTTTTTTACAGCGTCTATCATAGTTGGTAAGGGAACGTTATTTACAGTATCTTAGTTATCGCAAGTTGATTTTACGTTATTCTTCTTCTTTAATCTTTGTATCTGTCGTTATGCTGGACGTTCGGGACGTGAAGAGCAAAAGTTGGAGCTTGGCAGTTTCTTGTTGGAGCACGGCGATCTGGAAACCACGTTGAGAGGAGAAGTGAGTTGAAACTACCTGTCCGCGGAGTTGGATGTTCTCCTGCTCGAGAGCTGCCGCCTTAGCAGCGACGGCTTCTTCTTTGTTCCTCCGGGCGTCGCGTGATCTTTTCGCCGCATCATTGTTTTTGCGTCTTCGTTCGAAGTAGGCATCGTCCTGAAAAAAAGCCGTTTTTGGTTTAGATATGATTTTGAGTTTTGTGTAAGCCTCGTTCTGAGTGCTAAAACTTGCAGTGAGTGCGCGCTCGATCGTAACTGAGCCGCGCGACAATTGCTGCTTCTGGGTGTTTTTTGTAACGGCTGACCTGGCGGCTCTCACTTACACATCCGATGACCCCACTGTTGCGTCCTAACAGCACAATGGCTCCGCAGGTAGCCGCAGACCGACTCGCACTTGCGCAACCCCTCTTTTTTCCATATCAGGCGTGCCAGGTCACCAGCGGTTAATTACTCTGCCAACAGTTGGACGGCGAACAGAGGACCAACAAAAGATGCGTTAATTACAAAGAGCGCAGGGGGGTTTTTTTTTGAATAATTTCTACGTTCAAAAATTTTGAAACCTTTTTTTCTTCAGGGATAGGAACGGCAGGCTTACGGCATGGTGACGGCTGAGGGCTCGAAAACTGAAAAATGGACCCATTTAGAGCGCGACACGTTGACTTTCTATGAGTATTATTGAACTTGTTTGCAAAACTGTTTTTTTAAGGTAACTGAAAGGTACAAAAGCAGTACTAACACTGTAAGGTGGACAAATTGGACTTTAAGAAAAGTTTATCATCCGCAAATAGCGTGAGTTGTTTTAACTTATTGCTAACTTTGAGAAAAAATTTCAAGCTCACAAAAAATATCTTGAATGTCTACATGTACTGGGAGGTCCACAAGGATCTTCAAGCTGATTAAACCTATTTTCATTAAAAAAATATGACTATGAGCGAAACTAGAAAACTTAAAAACAGAAGCTTCAAATTTTTTTGTTTTTTTGAGTAGGACTCGTTCAAGAACCTTTCCTAGTAACATTTTTTTATTTTTTTATCCAAAAATGAGTTTTAAGAAAGTCAATTTCGAAGCTAAAAAAAAGTCAATTTCGAAGCTGGACAAGGGCAAATTCAAACCTGAGTGCTGCTGACGGTGCTGGAATGGCTGGAGACGGGACTGCTAGGCTCTTCGACACGCGCCTTCTTGGATGGCGTGAACTGCGAAGTCTCGTAGGGAACGATGCCAAGCGGAGCCTCGAGGTTGGCGGCCAGGGCTGGCAACGCCGAGAGCAGCGTCTGCTCGGTGAAAGCGAACGGCAACCCGGAGCTCAGGTCGAAGCCTGGAATGCCGGCCGGCAGTGAGACTGGACGCATGAGAGCGGCAAGAGCACGGTGCAGGTCCATGGTGCCGAGTGATGGCAACAGGCTGCAGAAGAGCCGGTGACCCCAAGGTCCGCCTCCGCAAGAGGTCAACCGCGGTCACTTGAGCTCTCGCAACAGTTAGACCGTGCTTGCGGCAGGAGGACACAGACAGCTCCAAGAAAAAAAAAGGCCGCCATTATTAGGTTGCCGATTGTAAATGCGCCGCCACAAGCTGATACTGTAGCGAGGCCTAACGAGAAGCATGGCTAACGCGATTTCTTTTGGCGGTCATGTCTGGAGTGGGGTTTCGGTCTTGCTGTTTTTGGGAATTATTAGAATCATCGATCTTGGGATATTATTACTAGAGGACGTTTTTAAAGCTAAAAATAGCGCTTTTTTGTCATAACTTGTGTATAAAGCTTCATAACTCGAAAAAAAGATCTATTGGGAGAAATTTTTGTCTTGATCTGCAATCAGGAGGTCCTAAAGTACACGAGCAAAGTTTCATCAAAAGTTCAACGGCGGGGGGAATATTTCCTAGTTTTTCTCTGAAAAAAGAACTTTTCTTCATTCTCCTAAGCTTTCTGCTACGGCTTCATTTTCCATAATATCTGAAGAAAAATTCCTACCAACAAATATGTTATAGCGGATCCAACCATTTTCACTACGCCATCCACAAGAATTGACCTTCCGAGGCTTCTGAGAGCTGCTCGTGAGGAAGTGAGCTGGACCAGCAACAGAATCCGCCGAGCAACATATGGCTGGCGCGTGTCCCTTAGGACCATCGTTTTTTAAAAGAGCCGTGATTGACGCGCGCCGGACCTCCCGCATGCGATTGACCTCTCGTAACCTGCAGAAAAACGGACCTGCCGCCGTGTTTGGAGATGCGCGCAACTCAAAAGTGGCCTCTCTCTCGGGTCATATTTGCCGTCGGTTTGCGTCACGTGGCCATTCCGACGCCTTCTCCTCCGTGGCCGCACCTCGCTGGAGTTCGACACGGCAAGAGACGCGAGACTGCTTTTGGAATGAATGATTCGAACCGATTTCGCAAGACGTACTTCGGTGTTTAGTTTACGTGTCGACTTCGCAACTTAAGAACTCCAGAGTGGTCCCTATAGGGGCAATCTTAGGGGCCCTTGGAGGGTCCGAAACTTTTCCCGACTTGAAAGGCGAGAGACCTAGGAACTCCAGAGGGATTACTATAGGAACCAAACTTGCAAAAGTTTTAGTTAGTGGCCCCTATAGGGGACATGCTAGTCGATAATTTTTACAAAATCTATGCGAAAAAGAAGAAGCATTTCCATGCGAAAAACTATAATAAGTAGGAGTTTTTTTTGAATGAAATCGAAATACCTCTATAGGGTCCACTTGAGATTTAGGGGCTAAAGGGTCAGACTCTAAACTCCTATAGGGACCACCTTGATTTTACCACTTTAGGGAGCACTTTTTCGGTCTACTATAGGGACTATTCTTTGAGAACTTCTTATTTGAGCCGATTCGGTTAGTTTCTCTCATTCGGAGATTTCCTAAAAGTTTTTACTAGGGAACGTTTTTCAACCCCCCCCCCCCCTCGGTTGAATTTTTGATGAAACTTCGGTGAATTGAAGGACTCAAACTTTTGGTTTCATTCCTCAAGTACGAAAAGGCTCTCTCAAGACCGAAGTCTGGAAGTCGCAGCTTGTTTTTGAGCTCCATGTTACAGCACACAATTGATTGCTACTCGGGCTTCGCAGATTATTTTACCTGCTGGGCTTTATTTTTCTTCCCCCTAAACCTTGGATTCTTCGACCACTTTAAGCTTTTCTCTTATTGCAAATCGTTTGAAGATGTGAGTTATGCCAGCTGTTTTCTGAGGGATGGCAGCGTTTGTTTAAAGGAAGGTCGCTGCGTCGGAACGGGTGTTCTGGCGGTGTCCTGTTACGTAATCATCCATCCTAGGCTCTCTTCAATCATTTCCTACCGGCCTCTCATTCTGCTCCCTGAAAGAGGCCGCAACTAAGACCAAAACCCTATGAAATCGCAGTTTTTCTCCGAAAAATCATCTGCACAGACTTTGAAAATTGTTTTTAAAGTTGATTTTGAGATTTGTTGCCATTCGGAACTCAAGAATGGTCCCTATAGGGGCGATCTTAGGGATCAAACACCTGAAGAGACCACTAAAGCGTGCAAAAGTGATCTCTATAGGGGTTAATGGCCTCCATACGGGGCTCTTAGGAACTCCAGAGGAGCAACCTTAGGCGCCCTTCGAGGGTCACCTCTAGGGAGCACTTAACAAACCCCTATAGGGGCCACTAAAGCGTGCAAAAGTAATCCCTATTGGGGTGTTAGTTAATGGCCTCCATACGGGGCTCCTAGGAACTCCAGAGGAGCAACTTTAGGGGCCCTTCAAGAGTCACCTCTAGTGAGCACTTAAAATCCCCTATTGGGGTCACTAAAGCTTGCAGGAGTGGTCTCTATAGGGGACATTTTATTCGATAACTTTTATGAACTCTATGCGAAGATGCAAAAAACTAAATAAATAATCGTTTTTTGAATAAAATTTTGAAAACCCCATAAAGACCACTTAATCTTGAGGGGCTAAAAGGTCAGACCCAAAACCCCTATAGAAACCACCTTGATTTTACCCCTATAGGGACCACTTTTTTGGCCCCTATAGAGGCTTTTTTTCCGAACTTCTATCACCCAAAAATTCCTAGGACTATAAAAAACTATTCAAACTTGAACAAAATCGAGAAAAAAGGAGCTGAAAGAGATGTCGGGAGTCCGACTGAAGCTCTTCAGGTAGCTTCTTTGGCCTGTGCCGATTGTTTCCTGTCTATGTACGGGGGCGAAGAGAAACGAATCGCAGGTCGGAAATTGGACAACTCCCTCTGAATCACCTTGCCTTCCCTTTCCTCTCGTCTTCTAACTTTTCCTTTCGACGATTTCTGTTTTCATCATTTCGTGTTTATAATTATTTTTTCTGTGTACTTTTCGCCAGACGATGATTCACCTTTTTTTGAACTCTGTTTTATAATTATTTCCGTCGATATGGCTCCACTAAGAATAACTGCCGAGATAAACGCGAGACACTGGCGGTACATTGACGAGCTCGCAAACATCTCGCATTTTTTCTCGCGCCGGTCTCGCATTTTTCTGGGCGCCAGCTCGCACTTTTCTAGGCGCGAGCTCGCATTTCTCTCGCTATTTGAAAATTTCCGAAATGCAAGATAAATGCGAGATGGCGCCGAGAAAAATGCGAGGTCGCGCCGAGAGAAATGCGGGATCGCGCCTAGAAAAAAGCGACATTTTTGCGAGTTGGTCAATGTACCGCCACCGAGCTCGCGTTTATCTCGTCAGTTATTCTTAGTGTCTCTATTTCAATAATGTATCTAAAGGCATTTTTTAAATCAAGTTCAAAAAAAGCAGCAAATGTTTTCCTTTGGACGGTCGATTTCCATTCCAGATTTTTACAAAATTCGCACCAATCTTAGGAACTCCAGAGTGGTCCCTATAGGGATTACTGAGAAAACATCCTCTATAGGGGCTGAAAAAGTGGTCCCTATAGGGGTAAAATCAACATGTTCTCTATAAAGTCTGACCCCTTAGCCCCTAAATCTCAAGTAATCCCTATAGCGGTCTTTCAATTTCATTCAAAAAACGCTTTTTTAGTTTTTTTCCCGCTTAGAATTTATAATAATTACCGACTATCATGTCCCCTATAGGGACCACTCTGAAGTTTCTAAATGCAAAAAATTAGCCTGGTGAGTTTAATTTTGAAAATAATTGAGGGATGAATGACATCAGAGTAGGAGCCTTATCTCTGATGATTTTCTTCGCCGCGACGACTTTCACAGGTAAGGCAAGGAGAAAGCCGAAGCAAGGCTCAATTTCAGACACGAAGGACCTCGAAGCGATTCTTCTGCCGCAGCAGCACACTTCCGTCGGCAGTGACGGCGAATATGTCGTCGAAAAAGACGTGCAGCTCGGCGAGGAGACGTCCGCCAGACGCGCCTGCATCTCCAGTTAGTTTTCTTTTTTCGTTGTCTCGTCTGGTTGGTTTGAAAAGATTCCATGAATACCATAAATAGTCAAATTTTCCCGAGTTGAAGTTGAGGGAGGCGGGGCAAGGGGCGGGACGCGTAGCGTGTCCGTACGCGGCTCTTGGCACGAGTTCAATTCAAAATCTCTGTATTTTTGTATCTATTCTATTATTTTTAATGCAAACATGAAAAAAATCAATAAATAACTGAATAAGAAAAGGAAAGAGCGATAAGCTCTCCAAGCTTAGGAATTTTAGAGTGGTCCCTATGAGGGTTAGGGGGAAAAAGCCCCTATAGAAACCGAAAAAGAGCTCTCCATAGGGGTGAAACCAAGGTGGTCCCTGTAGGGGTCAAGGATCTGACCCTTTAGCCCCTAAAGCTTGAGTGGCCACTATAGGGGTTTTTCAACTTCATTTAAAAACGCTCAATTATATTCGGAAAACGCTTTTTTATTTAGTATTGGCATGGAAATGCTTCTTCGCAAAGAGGTCATAAAAAGCATGTCCCTATAGGGGCCACTAACTGGAACTCCTGTAGGCACCACTTTTGCAAGCTTTAATGGTCACTATAGGACTTGGTAAAGTGGTCTCTAGAGGGAGCCCTCCTAAGGTTGCCTCTATATGTATATTCTTTTTCTGCAGGAGAGGAAGCAGCCGCTACGGGACTTCTGTCGAAGGAAACGACTTCCTTCAACGACACCGAACCCTTCAATGGCACCTTAGTCGAAGATGTTCCTTATTTTCCATTGCGAAGCACAATCTTAATTTCAGACCATGGAGCTGAGGATCTTCAAGCCGCTGTGCGACGACTGAACCATGGAAGAACTTGTAGTTTTTCAAAAATCAAACAATTTTTGTCATTTTCTGTGCCTTCCTCAAATGAAACCATTGTGCTTTAGATGGGATGAAACAAGTTATATAGAAATCTTTATATTCTGGTATTGATTAAAGCTATTAAGGTTGCAATATTAAACTCTTTCGAAGGAAGTTGACGTGGGAGGGTCATATTGGTTGGAAAGAAACAGGCAATAAAGAGACGCGAGAGAGAGAGCTGGTTGAACCTCTCCGCGCGGACCAGAAAGAAGTAATGAACTTTTTTTTTTGGTGAACGACTAGTTTGATGGCTCGGACGCGTTTTTCAGCTTCAACTATTATTTGACAAAATACTTATTATCAGCTGGATTTTCAACTCAATACAACATTCAACTGAAAACTCACTACTTGTAGTAACTACTATGAACGGCGGCGATGTGCACCGACTTTTTTTTTTTGCAATCACGCCCACTTTTTCGCGTGGAAGAGAACACGCGAAGAAATTGGCGGCAAATGAGAGAAACGTCGAAAAAAGTGAAACAATTTGTTGAAAAAGGATCTCTTCAAAAAGATGACTAGAACATTATGTGCGTGACATGCGTGCCTTTTTACACCTCTACAATAGATTAATCCATATAAAATAATAAATTCCTCGACCAAAAAAAGAAGGAAAAAAATCAATACACAATAGAACGTGTTGGCAAATTGAAAAATACATAAAACATATCAAGTTCTATGAACGACTAAGAACGAAATACAGTAAAGAAAAATTATTTGAGGGCAAGAAGAAGAAGACAACGTAAAGCGGAACTTCGTCTCGAAGAGAACACAAACAAGCCTAGACAAGCCTCATCTCACCGGAGAAACGAAGGTAAATCGGAAAAAAAAATACTTAAAAGGGAAAAAAAAGGAAGGACTAGAACTCGGCAAACTCTTTGGCACACTTCTCCGTGCCCGATATGCGAAGCGGCTCTTCTTCGTAGTCGTCGAAGTTGGAGGCGTCGCCGGGACCTCGGCATTTTGGTAGAAACGGCGCTTCGACCTGAAATCGCCAGATTCGTTTCTAATTTTGCTTCTCTGAGGCTTTCACATGCAACTCTTGTTGGATTGTTTCGATTAGGGTGAGTCTTTTCTCAATAGGGAAATTAATCGTATCGGCTTTTGTTATAACTTTACATCTTATTTGAGAAAAAATACCGAGGTTCTTTAGAAGAAAAAGTTTCGGTAAAAATTTAATTATTAGGAATGGTGGATAATGGCAGCCAAAAGGCTCAAAAATGACCGCAGAAAGGCAGCAAAAAGGATCTTTTTTATTTTTACAATTTTAAAGGCGCGAGAAATAGTGAAAGAAAAGAGAAGCTGCAAAAATGGTGCATAAAAGCCGATAAAATGGCGCAAAAAATGAGCCTTTTTCATCCTAAAAAGAACATTTCTATTCATTCCGTTTCCATTTTTCCGACTTTGCCTATGTTTGAAAATCGGTTCAAAAAATTAAAAAAAAAAAGAAATTTTTGACAAATAGACTTTCTTTTATATACTTTCTTTTATACTCTTTAAAATCAATCGATTATAAATAAAAAAGTGGCATTCAAAAGCCAAAAAGATGCGTTCCACTACAGCAAACTCTTTACACGATCACTATAACAAACAGCTGAAAAAACCGAAAAAAAAACTAAAAACATGCTTGGGATTCCACTAAAGGGGGTGGAAGCGAAAGAGAAAGAAGAAACCGAGGCTAGAAGTCAGCGAAAAGGTCGCCGTGTTGGTTGACGTCGGAGATGACGAAGTCTGGCTGCTCGGTCACTTCCTCGACGAAGTGACGCGTGTCTGCGGGGCCGTCGACCCTCGGGTAGAGGGCCTCGAAAAGTCGTCCGGAAGACTCGCCCTTGGAGAAGGACGGCGGCGTCACCTGCACACTCACATGCACTACGAATTCCCTTTTCAATCCACTCGATCTCCGGATATCTTGACAATATTCTATTAAAAAACCTCGATTTCATGCAAAATATATACTTAGGAGTTTCAGAGTGGTTCCTACTGGGGTTAGGGGCCAAAAAAGTGGTGCCTTTAGGGGTAAAATCAAGAAGTCCCTATTGGGGTTAGGGGCAAAAAGAGCACCTATAGGAGCCGAAAAATGGTAAAATCAAGCTGGGCCCCTGAGCCCCTAAAGCTTAAGGTCCCTATAGGAATCGTTAAATTTTTTTTCAAAGGAGATTTATTTTTTATTTTTTCGCATGGACATGCTTGTTCGGCTAGAGTTCATAAAATTTATCGTTTATCATGTCCCCTATAGGGACCACTTCTGCAAGCTTTAGTGGACCCTCTAGGGTTTGGTAAAGTTTTCCCTCCAAGGACCTCTAAAGTTGCCCCTATATGAACCACTCTGAACTTCCCAAGACCGATTACGCACGATTCTTTACTAAAACTTTGGAAGAAATCAAAGATCGAGGAGAACTGAAAAGAGACGTTTACCAGCACAACTAGCATCCCTAGTGCAATTCTTGAATGACTTCTTGAAAGCGTTTTTGTTTCGAAAAAAAGTAAACCAGTCTTTTTTGCATCGAAAGAAAATCATAAGAACGAAAACCTCCATGCACAGGTCCAAAATAAGAAACGTGGAAGCTTGCAAACGGTTAGGCATTCCATGGGAACGGACAGACCTTCCGTTGGTAGATGGCGATCCAATCGGTGCTGCCGAACCATTTGTGGTTTTTGATGTCGGCGACGCCGTTCTTCAGGTTTCCGAACCGCTTCGTCAGGTCAACTTGTAGCAGGTTCTTCAGCAGATCTTTCAGCTCGTTCGAGAAATGCGACGGGAATTTGACCTGAAAGATTTCTCTTCTTGAGGTTCTGATATTGAATGTCTCTAACGAAAATTGCGGTGCACCCCGTTTCGAACCCTCGGTGCACCCCGCAGGGTAACCAGGGGTGCACTCCGTTTAGCTTCAAATGCCTATTAAGGTACTTATTTCGTACAGGATTTTGAAGTGGTTCGTTTCCCAATATCCCCATTTTCTACAGTTCCTTCCCAAGTTGTTACGGTAGCTCAAAGAAGCATTTTTTTTTTCGACTGGTTGCCCCCAAGGTTCCCGCCATACAGGTCCAACACGGGGTACACCAAAAATACCACCGAAAAGTTCACTTTTTTTTCGGAGTTCTCTTATTTTTGTTAGATCATTTCAAACTGTTTCTCAATTTCAGTTTCTGAAGTTGATGCCGTTTTCAGTTCACCGTTTACTTTCCTCAGTACCTTTATTTTAATTTTTCGTTTAGGAGGTGTTCTATGAAATTCATCGAATAGAGTCCATTGACCGGAAACTAGAAGTTTTAAAAAGCTAATACCTCCAAAAAAAATCCCATTTCCGACTTATGAAGCCTCAAAGTTTCTCATTGACTACATATGACGTTGGAGGATGATAAGAAATTTAAAAACTGATATTTTTGGAATTTAAATATTGCGCAAATAGATGGCTCAAACGCCCAGTACATCAAGACCCATATCGATAAAAATGAGAAAAGGAGAAAAATCGAACCTTTCCACTGACGATCTTCTCGTAGATCTGTATGGGTTGGTCAGCGAAAAAAGGCGGATATCCGGCGGCCATTTCATAGATCAAAACGCCTAATGCCCACCAATCTACCGCTTTGTTGTAACCCTGAAAAAAAGATATTATTCTGAAAATTTTCTCATTGTTAAAAATGATTAGGCAACTAGGACACTTGAAATAATGCATATTGAAGTTTTTCGTATCGAATATTGAGAAATTGCTTATAGGAATAAGGATAAATAGTCAAAATATAATGTGCGCGGCCGATAACGACTCGCTTTTTCATCTTTTAAAAATTTCCATTAAAAAAAGGTGATAAATAACCCATTTTCGATCAATCACTCCTCGATTTACAGTTTGCAAAAAATTAAAGACAAAATCCTTCAAAAAGGGGCAAAATTTTGAAAAAAAAAAAAACATACTTTGGAGCTCCAGAGTGGTCCCTATGGGGGCAACCTTAGGAGCCTATGGAGGGAGCACTTTACCAACCCCTAAAGGGGTCACTAAAGCTTGCAAAAGTGATCCCTATAGAAGACATGCTAGTCATTACTTTTTTGAACTATATGCTTTCCATGCGAAAAACTAAATCAATAAGATTTTTTGAATAAAATTGAAAGACCCCTGTAGGGAGCACTTAAGGTTAGGCGGCTAAGAGGTCAGACCCAACCCCTATAGGAACCACCTAAATTTTACCCCTATAGGGACCACTTTTTCGGTTTCTATGGGGGCTGTTTTTTCCCCTAACCTCTATAGGGACCATCATGGAATCCCTAAGTGGCTAACTCTCAGAATGAAAGTAAATTTTGACTGAGCTTCCGATTTTCTGAAAATGAATGAAAAATCGCATATTCTTTTCTGATTTAAATAATTGTAATGCAAGAAAAAAAATCTCTTAAACTTTCAGCCAATCAAAATAATTGAGGATGACCCGATTATGGGGATATAATTAACGGGGAAAAACGATAGGTTGAATATCAAAACAGGAAAAATACCTTAGATAAGATGATTTCAGGCGCTAGGTATTCGGGAGTCCCGCACAGCGTCCATGTCCTTCCTTTTACCCGCTTGGCAAAACCGAAGTCAGTTATCTGAAAATTTTTCATATTCAATTTTTTCTTTGTCGTTCTCTGGGAAAATACTTCTGTTAGAGACCCCAAAATATGTTTTGCAAGTTCTTCAGAGAGGAAAAAAAAAACCAGTTTCTTAGAACGGAAGTCTTGAAGTTTCAAAAAAGGCGTGTCAAGCCCGTGTATGATGAATATTTGAACTTTCTTTTGAATTTTATCACTATTATTGAACATGGTACGAGAAAAAGATAAAAATAGTAAAAAATATGAATTAAAAGTACTAAAAAAAAATTTTCTAAGGAAAGTACAATTTGCGAAAAATTCACCACATCATACTCGGGCAAAGTCGGAATGGTGGATAATGGCCGCTAGAAGGAAGAGGCTCAAAAAAGGCAGCAAAAAGGGCCACTTTTCCAAGCCTTTCATTATTCTAGACTTTTAAAGGCTCAAGAAATGGTGCATCAAAGCCGATAAAACGGCGCAAAAAAGCAGCAAAAAGGACGCCTTTAAAGGAAAATTTCTATAAAAACCTTTTTCAACCCTTCCCGACTTTTCCTAGGATAATTCAATCTAATTTTTGATAAGAAAGGTCGTTTTAGCATATGATTCAAGGACTGGATAATTGAGCCAAAATGGCAAAAACTGAGTTTCCAATAAGAATTTTGCTTTTACCGCTTGATTTTCAGAATTCAAAAGTTAACGAAAGTAGGATTTCGACTTCTGGTTCAAAGCAATATGAGAGAAAATTCCAAAACTATCGCGAAAACCCTTTTTTCAATGAGTATTTTCCCTCTGATTTAGCTCTTTTTCCTCCAGATTTTTGGAGTTTTTCAGGTCAGCTGAGGCGGGGAGTCGCGTATCAGACCCTATAAGGGATCGACGGCGGCTGCATCCAGAGAGCCGGCCGGGGGAGTCGATCGAATTCCATGGAAACGGGGGTGGGCACGGCCGCCTGCGCGGAGCCTCTCACCTTAAGGTATCCGGTACTGTCTATCAGAAGATTTTCCGGCTTCAGATCCCGGTAGATGAGGTCCAGCGAGTGTAGGTACTCGAAGGCGAGCACGATCTGCGCTGCGTAGAACCTCGAGTGCGGCTCCGAGAATCTGCCGATTCGACGCAAGTGCGAGAACATTTCTCCGCCGGAGATGAACTCGAGCACCATGTACAGGTTGGAGTTGTCCTGAAATTGATGTTAAGAAAAAAAAAATCAGATTTCAAAAATGGAAGCTTCTGCGAATGTCTATGAACTAGTAGATGATTGAGAGTTGATTTTTGTGTAGATCAAAAAAATGGCTATAGTTTTCCGTACATGTTCAAGGTGTTCTGAGATTTCAAAATATTGCGACAATTGAAAAATAAAGATCACAATGAAGAAACCTTGAAGGAGTACTGCATGTTGACGAGGAAAGGGAAGTCGATGGCCTGAAGGATGCGCTTCTCGTTGAGAGTGTGCTCGACCTGCTTCAGCTTCACCACCTGAAGGCCGAGAAGACGTCAGACTGAAGATGGCAACGGACCTTCTGTTTGTCTAGAATCTTCATCGCGTAGTAGTTGCCGGACTGCTTGTGCTTGACGAGCATCACGCGGCCGAATGATCCCGTCCCGAGAGTTTTGATTCGATCGAAGTCGTCCAAACAGGCCGTGTTCTGCAACAGCAAACATATGGAAAAGCAAACAAGAAGAAAAAAGTCATATATTTTTTTCAAATTATAAAAACAATCGAAAGAGACATTGTGGAGTGAGGCATCTTGAAGACGGACGGGCAGGTCGAAGTCGTCGTCGTCGCCAGAAGCGTCGGAGGCGGTGGACGGTCGTGAAGAGCCCGGCGGAGATCCCTCAGACAGCTCCGACGCCGATGGAGACGCCGAAGACGCCATCGTGTGCTGCGGGACGGGAGGACAGCGACGATGGCGATTGGCGGACGACGACGTCTTCTCGGACATGTCCTCCGGGGGTGAGATGAATAAAGTGTTGCTGAGGAGGCTTAGGCACATCGATTAGAGATATCTGCACGTGAACGGGCGCTCTTCTGCGAAGCATTCCCTCCGCTCACACGCACTCCGCTTTCGTCTTCTATCACGTTTTGTCCTTGCTGTTTTTGTGTTCTTTATTACTTCGTAGTGCAATCCTTGGTTTCTCCGGATGTTCTCTCTTTCCATCCGACTCGTTGAAAAAAGGAAATGAAGTATTTCATTAGGACGTTGGAACCTCCACTATTTTTAGACCCTTAATTGGCCACCATTTTCTTCGCTTGCCCCATTATACCGCTTCTGCTAATTATAAAAGTTGTCACGGCGTGTCTGAGAGGAGAGAAGAATCCGACGGGGACGGATGGAAGAGACACAGAAAACAAACAGATCTTCGTGGGGTACGGGCGGTGAAAGAAACTGTCTTTCTCCGCGCTAATCGATAGAATCTGTTTGAGTACGAGCGAGAAGCTCGCTGTACTGTAACAGGAATTAGAAACTTAGGGAATAAAAAGGAAAATCAAAAGGATTTTAAAAGAAACTTAGGAAACAAAAAGGAAAACAAAAAGGATTTTAAAGAAAGGTTAAAAAGGAATTTTCCAGTGCAGTTGCGAGCAACCGCGCTGCACGACCACTCAAGGGGTAAACCAAGGGACGAGGAAGCGCCCTCGTCGCGGCGGTCAAAACTAATCGTTTTTGTTGATCTTCTTTTTTTAAATTTTTGTTTCTTCGTTAAAAAAGAGCGGGAAACGAATGGAAAGGTTTTTAGGGAAGAGTCTCCTCAGTCGCAACTTTTGTTTGGTTGTTTGACGGGCAAACTCGGTTAATGTAGAGGTTTTGGTTGAGCTGAGCTCCCTTGGTTTCCCGCTCTCCCTTGTTATTCCACAGGATCTCGTTTTTCGTTCAATTTGAACACTAGGGTTTACTCATCTGTTTTTTTGGATTGAGATTTTGGATTTAGTTTTCATTGGAATTTACCCATGTTGGCCGGGGACAATTTCTTTCTTAGATGGAAGGCGCCCCCAGGGTTAGTTCTAGTCGTTAGCTAATTAGCACTCAGGATATCAGGACTAGGAATCTTTTGGAAAGGTAGTCACAATCCAGGCTAGGTTAAGCTAGGGATCTCTTCGACAACTAGGAGCACGTGTTTTTCCCATTTTTTTTGTGTATGGGTTTTTTGTACATGTGTGATTGGTGCCTCCCCTCCTAACTGTATTTCCGGTATTTTCGTGTAATAACCAGGTCATAAAGATTTTGTATTTGAAGCGTTTGTTTGATGATGATGAACCAAATTTATCTGGGATCAACGCCATCAACCCCGGAGTTGTCTCGCTTGGAATCTGTCCTTTTAGGGGAGACTCCGGGGCCAGTCGGCGACATGGGGGCCGAACCAACATCATCATAACGCATCAAAATCTTTATTGTTTCTATAATTCCTCGGATACAATTTAATTATCGGATTACTATGCACTCGCATTCGGAAATGTTCGCGTTAATTGAACTTGACAGGAAAAAGGTTTAATTACCCAAGTTTGAGGTGTCCAAGCGTAACCGGGCAAACGGAAAGCTATGGCGTCGCCAATCCAGTCATCGGATGATGAGTTGTCGGTACCGACGGAGGACGTCAGAGAAGAAGAAGGCTCAGACGCAGGACAGGAAAAGGATCCACTGGAGGTAGTTACCAAGGATTTTTCGAAATTTTTCAATAATATCATTGATTTGAAATACAAGGACCTTGCTAGGAAAAATAAGCTGAAACTGGAATTCCTAGAAAAGCTGGAAAAGGTGCTAGAAAAAAGGGAACAGGAGATGTTACAGGCCCAAGGACCTGAGGCAGAGGATCAGGAAGCTAGATCAAGGAAGGGCTCGACTTCCACGGAGTCGTCTGCTGGTAGGCATAGGCTAGCTAGTGTTGGAAGTAGTAAGAATCCGCAGGAAAGGGCAACAGGACCAGCCTTTTGTCGTCAGACAGCGAAGAAGAGCACAAGGAGAAATCGCACCGATTCGCCAAGGAGCGCAACGAATCCCCGACAGGACGAGTCTCGAGACAGGAGGAAGTCTCAGGGTGAGCATCTTAATTTTACGGTTGAAACTCCGATTTTGGCTTTAGACCAAGGAGATAGGAAATATAAGTCTGAGCAGGTTGCGCGCGAGGACTGTAGTGAGGACCCAGGAGTCCTGAAGATGCTTCTGCGCGCTATCAACGAACAAAATAGGATTGCAGCGAACCAGGAACGTAGATCGTTGCTTAGAGATCCGAAACCGTTCAATAGAGAGCAAGGAACCGCTAGAAATAGGACTTTTCAAGAATTTGCGGATGAATTTTGGAACCTTTATGGCCCAGCGGCACTTTCTGAAGACGAAAAGATTGTTATTTTGGGCCAGAAACTGAAAGGCGAGACAAAAACAGCTTTCAATTCTTTGCCCGCAGGAATAAAAGCGCAAGGACTAGCAGCTATTCTCACGGAACTTGCCGACCGTGAGGAAAAGAAGAGCAACTCTTTAGTCATTGATAGGCTAACTAAGGTCAGCAAACTTAGCTTTGTCAGAGTAGCCAATGTAGAGGAAGCATGCTTTTTGATTGAGGACCTTCTTCCAGCAGAAGGAATGACGGCTAGAGCCAAGGATTTAGAGAGGGCTGGATTCCTCTGTGTATTGCTAGCTAGCAAATGGTCGTCCACAGACATTTCGTTGTTGCGCAATGAGATGGACCGTGTCCAACCTGGTGAAGTTTTTGCTGCTATTCACCAGCTTGCACTCAGTATTGAGCGATCGAAAAACATGATCGATGTAGGAAGCCGGAGTTTTGGAGGGGTTGAACCTTTTGCAAAGCGTAGACCTTGGAGAAAGGAGCAGGAAAATTTTGCAAACCCCAACCGGCCTGGGCTAGAGGAAGAGCAGGAGCACCTTCCGGCTAGAAAGTGGACGAACCAAAGTGGAAACAAGTCGTTTAGTCATGGACATGATCAGGCAAACGCAGGTTTCAGAAATTTCTCGCGAGATAGAAATAGAAGATCCTTCCATGGTGACAGGAAAGGACCTAGTGGCCGCGCCCTGGCGGACACTACTTGTTTTGGATGCGGCGAAAAAGGTCACCTCAGGCCGAATTGTCCAAATAGACAGGGAAATACTTCCCAGAGAAAGGAGCAGGTATCCGGAGCCGCTTCTAGACATTGGGTCAGGCTCGTACAGGTGCAGGATGAGGACGTTCCGACGGCGCCGCGCGCTGCAGATTCTCCCCGCGAAATTTTGAGCATTCAAAACCAAACGTTCAGTGCGTTAGTTGACACAGGTGCACAAGTGTCGCTAGCTCCAGCTCATTTTTTTCGGAAGACCAAGCAGCGAGGGAATCGTTTTTGACAGCCCCGTACATTCAAAGCCTCATAAAACCTACCCAGTTAACCCTTTTGAACGCTAGTAGTGAAGGAATGAACGTTGTTGGAGAAACAGTTCTCAAAGTTCATCTCCCCAGGTTTAAGCGTTGTGTTAAAGTACCTTTTATACTAGTCCAGGACTTGAAGGAATTTATTCTCGGAATGAACCTAGTTGAAGCTTGTAGAGACTTCTTGGACATTGACCTAGTGAAAACGGCGAACCCATTATTGACTATTAGGGAAGGATTAGTCGTGCCGGCAGGAACTGAAGTTTCCATGACCATAGGTAATGTTCCAAAAGGAGAAGCTGTGCTTTGGGGAAATAGACCTGAAGTACCAGACCAAATTGTTGAAGGCTCTGGTGAAGGAAAAGCCGTAGTTAGGATAGTTAACAGGACTAAAACTGACCTCCAATTACCGGCAGATACCCCGATTGGACTAGTAGAGGTAGTAACTTGTTCAAAAATGCATCTTTTGCCGGAGCAATTTAGGATGCACTTTGAAGGAAGATGGAATGACGAAAACCCGTCAGAAATCATCTCAGTTTTGGAACAAACTAGTGGAAAAACCTTGTCGGAAAAGGTGAAAAAGTTAGTTTCCAAGTTTACTGATGTTTTTGTGCAGGACGACAAGGACTTGACGCAGACGCCAGTTTTTACTCATGATATCGAGCTTTTAGATGATAGGCCGATTAGACAAAAGACTAGGCATATCCCTTTCGGACTAAGGAATGAATTCAGGAAAACCTTAGACGAAATGTTGAGTAAAGGAGTAGCAGAACCAAGTAGTTCGCCTTACGCGTCTCCAGTTGTCCTAGTCAAGAAAAAGGATGGTACTATTAGGGTCTGTATAGATTATAGGGAAATCAACAAGGTTATCAAACAGGACTCGTACCCCCTACCTAAAATGGACTCTATAGTGCAGGACTTAGGCGGAAATAGGTTTTTCTCGACTTTGGATCTTTTTAGCCGGCTATTGGCAGATCCACTCACTGAGAAAGCCAAAGGAAGTCACGGCTTTTACGACCTCAGAAGGTCTTTTTTTCAATTTACAGTCCTCCCGTTCGGTCTAGCCACTTCGCCACCAACTTTTCAGCGAATGATGGAAATAGTGCTTAAAAGATCTGATCAGGGACGGAGGTGTCCATTGTTACATTGACGACGTTTTTGGTTGCCTCAAAGACGGAAGAAGAACACCTAGAACTTCTAGAGAAAGTCTTGGACGCTTTTTAGAAGAGCAGGACTGAGCCTTAAAAGCTAGTAAATGTAAAAATAATGCAACAACAGGTGAAATTCCTAGGCCAAATCATTGACAGCAATGGCGTAAGTACGGACCCAGAAAAGATCGCAGCCGTAAAAGACTTCCCTCAGCCTAGTAAGCGCGACGAATTACGCTCGTTTTTAGGACTTTGCTCTTTTTATAGAAAGTTCATCTTCAAGTTCGGAACTATATGCAAACCGTTGTATGAATTGATAAGCGAGAAAAGTAAAATTTGAATGGACTACGGAAACGTTAGCCGCTTTCGACCATATCAAGCAGGAGTTAATTAAAGCACCAGTTCTTGCGCAACCGGACATAGAAGGAGCAATCAACGGATCTAAACCTTTTTATCATCTACACAGACGCTAGTAGGAAAGGTATAGGAGCAGTTCT